ATCCCCCCTCATTCTTCTCTTCTGCAGGCTAAACAATCCCAGCTCCCTCAGCCTCTCCTCATAAGTCATATGTTCTAGACCCCTAATCATTTTTGTTGCCCTTCGCTGGACTCTCTCCAATTTATCCACATCCTTCTTGTAGTGTGGGGCCCAAAACTGGACACAGTACTCCAGATGAGGCCTCACCAATGTCGAATAGAGGGGAACGATCACGTCCCTCGATCTGCTCGCTATGCCCCTACTTATACATCCCAAAATGCCATTGGCCTTCTTGGCAACAAGGGCACACTGCTGACTCATATCCAGCTTCTCGTCCACTGTCACCCCTAGGTCCTTTTCCGCAGAACTGCTGCCTAGCCATTCGGTCCCTAGTCTGTAGCAGTGCATTGGATTCTTCCATCCTAAGTGCAGGACCCTGCACTTATCCTTATTGAACCTCATCAGATTTCTTTTGGCCCAATCCTCCAATTTGTCTAGGTCCTTCTGTATCCTATCCCTCCCCTCCAGCGTATCTACCACTCCTCCCAGTTTAGTATCATCCGCAAATTTGCTGAGAGTGCAATCCACACCATCCTCCAGATCATTTATGAAGATATTGAACAAAACCGGCCCCAGGACCGACCCTTGGGGCACTCCACTTGATACCGGCTACCAACTAGACATGGAGCCATTGATCACTACCCGTTGAGCCCGACAATCTAGCCAGCTTTCTACCCACCTTATAGTGCATTCATCCAGCCCATACTTCCTTAACTTGCTGACAAGAATACTGTGGGAGACCGTGTCAAAAGCTTTGCTAAAGTCAAGAAACAATACATCCACTGCTTTCCCTTCATCCGCAGAACCAGTAATCTCATCATAGAAGGCGATTAGATTAGTCAGGCATGACCTTCCCTTGGTGAATCCATGCTGGCTGTTCCTGATCACTTTCCTCTCATGCAAGTGCTTCAGGATTGATTCTTTGAGGACCTGCTCCATGATTTTTCCAGGGACTGAGGTGAGGCTGACTGGCCTGTAGTTCCCAGGATCCTCCTTCTTCCCTTTTTTAAAGATTGGCACTACATTAGCCTTTTTCCAGTCATCCGGGACTTCCCCCGTTCGCCACGAGTTTTCAAAGATAATGGCCAATGGCTCTGCAATCACAGCCGCCAATTCCTTCAACACTCTCGGATGCAACTCGTCCGGCCCCATGGACTTGTGCACGTCCAGCTTTTCTAAATAGTCCCTAACCACCTCTATCTCCACAGAGGGCTGGCCATCTCTTCCCCATTTTGTGATGCCCAGCGCAGCAGTCTGGGAGCTGACCTTGTTAGTGAAAACAGAGGCAAAAAAAAGCATTGAGTACATTAGCTTTTTCCACATCCTCTGTCACTAGGTTGCCTCCCTCATTCAGTAAGGGGCCCACACTTTCCTTGGCTTTCTTCTTGTTGCCAACATACCTGAAAAAACCCTTCTTATTACTCTTGACATCTCTCGCTAGCTGCAGCTCCAGGTGCGATTTGGCCCTCCTGATTTCATTCCTACATGCCCGAGCAATATTTTTATATTCTTCCCTGGTCATATGTCCAACCTTCCACTTCTTGTAAGCTTCTTTTTTATGTTTAAGATCCGCTAGGATTTCACCATTAAGCCAAGCTGGTCACCTGCCATATTTACTACTCTTTCGACTCATTGGGATGGTTTGTCCCTGTAACCTCAACAGGGATTCCTTGAAATACAGCCAGCTCTCCTGGACTCCTTTCCCCTTCAAATTAGTCCCCCAGGGGATCCTGGCCATCCGTTCCCTGAGGGAGTCGAAGTCTGCTTTCCTGAAGTCCTTTTCCTCCCATGCTTTCTTTGCAAATCATTCTTCTCTCATTAGTATCACTTGTCCACCCACTTCAAATGTGCACTCTCCAGCCTATTTATTACTGGGAGTCCCACATTCATCTTTCCCCTAATTTCTTCCATGCACACACTGTCTTCCCTCCACTTGGCTGCCATTCTCAATATATTATGTGCTACTACCTGTATCTTAGAACCATAGAAAATCTTTTTTCTTCCATGTGCAAAAGACCCCACCATTTCTAAACCACAGAGCAGGCAGAGAAAAACACATGCAACATATACTTTTCCTGCCAGTTTGTTACTTAACTGAGGTCCTACAGTACTTCTATCTTTTTCACTGTCACTCACGCACAGTGGGCTCTTCTTTTCAATTCTCCAGATCTCTCTCTGATAGCACTAAGGGTATGTTTACACTCCAAAAAGACACCCGCAGTCGGCCTGTGCCAACTGACTCGGGATAAGCGGCTGTTTAATTGTGGAGTAGACATTCGGGCTTGGGTTGCAGTCAGAGCTATGGGATCCTCCCCTCTTGCGGGGTCCTAGACCCTGAGCTTGGGCTCGTCTGAACCACAATTAAACTGCCCCATAGCTCAAGCCCCGTGAGTCAGCTGGCACGGGCCAGGTGAATGTTTTTAACTGCAGTTTATACCTTCAGTGTACTTCCCAATGTGACTGGGCAAGGCCAGATGGCTATAGAAAAGTAGTGGGAGATAGATATATTAGCTCCAGGCTAAACAAATCCCTGGTACCAGGTTAAGTGAAATGGAAGCTGCTCCAGGTCAATTAAGACACCTGGGGCCAATTAAGAACTTTCCAGAAGGCAGGGAGAAGGCTAGGTTGATTGGGACACCTGAAGCCAATCAGGGGCTGGCTGAAAGTAGTTAAAAGCCGCCCAGTCAGTCAGGTGGGTGTGCATGTCAGGAGCCGTAGGAGGAAGTTGTGCTGTTGGAGAGACTGAGCAGTACACACCATATCAGGCACAAGGAAGGAGGCCCTGAGGTAAGGGTGAAGTGGAGCTTGAGGAAGTGGGTGCTGCTATGGGGGAAGTAGCCCAGGGAATTGTATATGTCATGTTTCTAAATGGTCAGCTACCATAGCTGATACTATTAGGGTCCCTGGGCTGGAGCCCAGAGTAGAGGGTGGGCCCGGGCTTCCCCCCCACCTTTGCCCCTTGATTAATCACTGAGACTGGGAGACAACAGAGACTGTGCAAGGAAGGATAACTTCTCCTCACCTCCCTTGCTGGCTTATGATGAAAATGGCTCAGCAGACTGTGACCCTTTTCTTGAGAGAAAGAAGGGTTATGTGGAGGGTTATAGTGAGCCTCTGAGGCTAGTGAAATCTGCCAGGAAACACGGGACCCACGGAGGCAAGGACAGAGCTTTGTCACACCAAGTACACAGATTCTTTCTTCTCCTTGAGTGTCTCTTCTGAAGCTTCAATCAACAGCTCTTTTTCCACCCTCTTCACTTGCAAAACTTCAGGTTTCTTCGTGTTTATCTTCAAACCATGGTCATCAACACAGATGTCCACTTGCTATTGTTCTAACATTTAGTACTATTATTGCACTTTAACACAGAAAATTGCTGTGAGAGTTGAAGTATGGATTTGAACAGGCTAAAAAATATTGTACTGTGGACTGATTGCTATTACACTGTAATAAACAGTAGTTCTCTGTAATCATTGATAAAAGAATACAGCATGTAAAGTAAAAGCCAGCAATGAGCTCATGCTGACAAGTTTAAATCTTGATTCAGATCCAGACCAAAATTAACTCAAAGCGTGGGACATTCAGACCTGGGGTATTAGTTCAGGTCCATCTTTAGTGAGGATTAAGGGATTTTCAAAGGATACAAATAATCCATAGCACTTCAATGGCATGTTACAAAGACCATCTACTTAACAATAAAGAAACATGGCAACATCAGGATAAGTAAAATGAGATTACTGACAAGAACATTTTGAGGGGGCTAAATGTCACCTGCAACAAGGTTTAGTAGGTGAGACCCGGAAAGGGAATAAACTGTAATGGCATGATAGGAAGAAATTCTGCTAATGCCCCCTTCCCAAGGACATGCATTCAGTGCATCCTAAGATCAGTCTTCCCTGTAGCCCGGCCCTTCTGCATCTAAACTTCCTGCCCACCAAACAGGCTTAAGATAACCTTGATAATGTTCAGGGTTTCAAGAGTACATTGATTTATGGAATTCATCAGGGGTCAATTTTTCTTAGATGCAAAAGAAGCATGCAGTCTGTAAGCATGCAGTCTTTTGAAGACTAAGCAAAAAATCCATTTTTACATTTCAGATTACAACCTAACACTTCTGGAGCAAGCTGACACTGGAGCAGCAGTTTAACATTTAGCAGTCTGTTAATTCAATATATATCTAAAACATTTCTCTTGTCTTATCTTTTTCATATTCTAGAAATCTCCATTTTTCAGATAGTCTGTGAGCTTTCCTGTTATGAGAATATTACATCCTCTCCTCAACTATGAGATATTATCAGGGGGCTCCCTTCCAAGATTTTGCCAGAGCACACATGGATGATGTGAGTGCAACTTTATATTACTGAGTCAAGAGGACTTTCTATCTGGAAGATCCAAAATCACTATGATTAGAACCATTTGTACTTTCACTTTTATTAAATCCACTATGATGTTTTTAAGTGCTTGATCAATTTTCCTCTGCTTTGGGACAGTCCCATCAAACATACAGCATAGAAAACTGTCCTAAAGAAGGACTTTCTCTTTGTGACACTAGAACAAATTTGGAAAAAAAAAACCTATCACATAAAAAAAATTATACCAGTCCTTTTCTTTATTTTCCCTGCAATTTTATTGCAAAAATTTGTGTTTTGATAAGAGATCTTTCCTTCCTTATAGCTTCTTGTTATGTTTTACTCTATGGTAACCTCATTACAATCCTTATCCTCTGCTTATATCAATCTGTGGCCATGCAAATTACTCTGATATAAAAATCAACATTATATCTTCATTACTCTTACATCTTCATTATAGTGCTGAGTTCCCATTTAAACAATAAATATACTGAATATGGACAGCAGACATCTCTTCATGTCACAACACATGAAAAAGATACATAGCCTTTCATCTAACCAAGGCAAAAAAGGGGTATTAAGAAAACACACAGAAGAAACAAATCAGTACTTACAACAGGGTATTTTGTGTTTGGGTCAAATTCTGTAGAATTTGCATCTGGAACACAAAAAATTCAGAATAACCACCATACATTTTCATCATCCTAGATCATCATCTTTGTTGGCTTGTAGGACTATATTGTGCCCTTAGGCACAGCCTTGTAAAGGTGTGTGTGTAAGGTACAACACCCCAGCAGCAGCATCAGGAAGCACAATGCCTCCGGGTAAGTCGAAACGTCAAGAAGGGGGTGTGATTCCCAACTCAAGGAAACATCTGTGCTAGCTCTGATTGAGCTAGCACATTAAGAATAGTGTAGCTGTGGCAGCATGAGCAGTGGGACAGGGTAGTGTCTGCCCCAGTGTCTCAGACAGGTATGTAGTCAGTGTGGCTAGCCCCTCTTCCTGCTCATGCTTTTGCAACTACACTCTGTTTTCAGTGTGCCAGTGAGATCAGAGCTAGAGTGGGTACATCTTCACGAGCTGGGAATTACACCTCTAGCCTGAAGTGCAGACATACTCACAGAGACTCACCAGAGTCACACTTCCTCCCCTACTACCGACTTGTTCCTGAGGGCAACAATTTACTCCTGGCCTAAACCAGCACTAAATTACTACCCACCCTGCACTTATTTGGCTACTCTGCTCAATAAGTAGTGGGATAGAGCTAACGTTCCTCCCATTCCCCACCACTACCTACCCACTTGCTTGAGGGACAGACTATAGAGGTGAGCTGCCCAGTGTATTCCTATGCTCCTGAAACCAAGATCTGAGTAGCCTGCACAGGGGTAGAAAGAGAGTTCTTACTCCCTTTCATAGGCATATAATCCAATTCACAATCTAGCTCTTCGAATTTTTTCACATTGATCTAAACACATAATACTATGATCTGAATAATATAAAGTTCATATAAAGAATAAGCTTTCTTCTAAGTGAACCAAATCCATACTAGGATACTGAACTTACCTTTCCAGTTTAAACAGTTTCTTGCAAACTCCACCACTGCCAGCTGCATCCCCAAGCAAACTCCTGCAAAGAAGAGAAGAGAACCGAGTTTCACACAATAGAAAGTAGAATTTGGAAAGTAGTCTCAAGTCAGCTATCAGAATACCCACAGTTTTGATTTCTGGCTACCCAGTTTGTATGTACAAACCCATACATTCTGGAAATCCTGAAGACTGGTTGACTAATTGTAGGCAAGAAACGTAAAGGTCACTCTAGACTATTCAGAATAACAACGTCCTTAGAGTCCTACTAAATAATCTTTTTTCATTTTAAATGTTATGTGCCTAGTAGGGATAGGCTACAGCTGAAAGTTTGGGTATGTTCAGACCCAAAACTTTGGCTGGGCCCATCTCTAGTATCTAGTCAAAGAATTCATCATGCATCTTAGATTGTAAGCAACTCAAAGCAAGGACCATATCTTCTTAAGTGTCTGCATAGCACCTGGCCAAGATCCTAATTGGACACTACTATAATAGAAAAGTGTAATTAAAAGGAGTAAGCAATACAGAAATGATCAGACATAACAAACATGTTGAAAGGGATATTTTCTTCAGATATATTGAGCTAAAATTATAATGTTGTGGATTTGTTACTCTTAAAAAGACTGATACTCCAAATCAGATGTAAAATCTATGAACTAACTAAAGTGATTCTAAGGTCTTTGAGGCAGGGACTGTCTTTTTGTTCTGTGTTTATACAGCACCTAGCACAATGGGGTCCTGGTCCATGACTGGGGCTCTTATGTGATATCACAAAACAAAAACAAATAACAGAGTCAGCATCCCTCACATAGAACTTGAATGCTGACTCGAGTCAGAAACCACTTACATTTTAATAGGTTTCAGAGTAGCAGCCGTGTTAGCCTGTATCCACAAAAAGAAAAGTAGTACTTGTGGCACCTTAGAGACTAACCAATTTATTTGAGCATAAGCTTTCGTGAGCTACAGCTCACTTCATCAGATGCATGCAGTGGAAAATATAGTGGGGAGATTTATATACACAGAGAACATGAAACAATGGCTGTTACCATACACACTGTAACAAGAGTGATCAGGTAAGGTGAGCTATTACCAGCAGGAGAGCGGGGGGGGGGGGGACCCTTTTGTAGTGATAATCAAGGTGGGCCATTTCCAGCAGTTGACAAGAACGTCTGAGGAACAGTGGGGGGGAGTGAAGGGGGGAATAAACATGGGGAAATAGTTCTACTTTGTGTAATGACACATCCACTCCCAGTCTTTATTCAAGCCCAAGTTAATTGTGACCGGTTTGCAAATTAATTCCAATTCAGCAGTCTCTCGTTGGAGTCTGTTTCTGAAGTTTTTTTGTTGAAGAATTGCCACTTTTAGGTCTGTAATCGAGTGACCAAAGAGACTGAAGTGTTCTCCGACTGGTTTTTGAATGTTATAATTCTTGACGTCTGATTTGTGTCCGTTTATTCTTTTACATAGAAACTATCCAGTTTGACCAATGTACATGGCAGAGGGGCACTGCTGGCACATGATGGCATATATCACATTGGTAGATGTGCAGGTGAATGAGCCTCTGATAGTGTGGCTGATGTGATTAGGCCCTATGATGGTGTCCCCGGATATGTGGACACAGCTGGCAACGGGCTTTGTTGCAACGATAGGTTCCTGGGTTAGTGGTTCTGTTTTCTTTTTACATTTTAATGAGGCCCACGCAACTTTGCCAGGTAGATTTTAGGTCCTATTTTAACAACTACTTTAGTTTTATAAAAAATTAACCACCTTTCTCTACATATCTTCAACACTCAGTGATATTTCGTTAGTTGAAAGATCTTACCAAGAAAAGGTTTTTTCTTTTTTCTTGCCCAAGAGATTGCTTGGAGTTTGCCTTCTGTTCCCCTAAATCCAAACCCACCTGGGACCAAAATGCCACTGTAATAAAATCCATACATAAAATGATTGGGATGTAAAATCAGGATAAAAAAAAAAGTCTCCGTGTGTCACTTAAATGATAGACTTGCCAGGTTAAAAGGGACACCACATTTTGTATACTTCAAGATGCCAATTCTCTGTGATCTTTAATGAGAAATACACCTCATCAACATGAAAAATCCATTGGATTTATTTCAAGTTTTGGAACATCTGCATCAGTGTTCTAGCCAAATTCAAATAAAGTAATTACATCCTCTCCAGTGAAATTCCTATTTCCTTAACAAGCTACAGAATTCTTCTTCACTTCTTGACACTACACTGTTGGATGGTACTTCTGGTGCCTTGACAATAACTGCTGAGTAATACTAAAGAGATGCCTTATGGTAGTGGATGAAGTAAAATGTTCCCTTTAATTATACAGGGTGAACTGCTGGTCCCAGTGCCATCCATCGCAAAACTTCTGTTGATTTCAATGGGGCCACTCACAGTTTAATAATTTTGCCAAGTAGATTGATGCTTATAAAAACAGCCTTACAAAAATGTCATGAAAAACATTTAGTAGCCCGGGCACAACACTGACTTATTCACTTTTTACTATGATGTTTGATGACAAAAATAAACTACTGATCCTTTAGTCACATCGGAAAGGGTAGAATTTTTGAAAATGCCCAACTCTTCAAATGTACCTAAGCACTCAGGCACATTTAAAAACCCCACCCAAAGAGGCCAGAACAGGGGCTGAATTCTGGCCCAATATTTTTTAACGTGTTATTTCCTCCGGTATAACTCATTCTTGTCACAAACTATCATGAAGCTATTTCTTCCTGTCAGCAACCAAACCAAATTCCTAAACAAGTCTACTTCGTATAGTGAATGGTTCAAAATCTTTTGAGTAATATATGATTTGCCATTTGAGATGTATGTTAGAATTAGTGTGATATTTTTACATAAAATCAAAAATCTTTTCCATGATAGCTTTTACATTGCAAAGTACTGAGTTAAGGAGAAAAAAGATAAGATGGTATTGGATACTGAAATTATACGAGACACTGGAAAAATCAGTTAGGAAAAAATGTACATTAAACAAAACAACAAATCATTAAACTCTTCTACTTTGTATATAGAATACTTGATGGCACTTACTCTGCTTTGCATAATTTTTGCCACGCCTGGTGGTATTTCACTGGGTTCTCAACTTCTGTAGAATGCTCAAGCTCTATTGAATCTATATACTAAGAAAGAAAAATATAGGACAAAACAGTATTTCATTCCACCAAAAAAGCATTATAATGTTATACTGTAAAACAAACATTTATAACATAAAAAAAGCCTGCAGGACTTTTCAATGATTCCCACAATAAATCTGCACATAAAAAATACTGGCTAAAGATCCAATCCTGCAAGGACCTCTGCAGTGGTAGTGGAACTAGGGGTGCTGCCACACCCCCTGGCTTGAATTAGTAACAACAAACACCAAATACATGGTTTCCATCATCAGCACCCCCACCATAAAAATTGTTCCAGAACCCCTGGACCTCTGTTTAGCTGCAGAGGTCAGCCCATAAGGAATTCTTTGTAGGGTTGCGTCTATTGTTATGGTGTGTGTAGTTTTCTAACTGTAAGTCTTTCTTCTATATACTTTCCTCCCTCTGAATTAGTTCAAGATGGCAACTATTCTGGATTGAGTCACACAGTGTTCTCTCTCAGAGATTCTGGATCAGATCCTCAGCTGATGTAAATGAGTGTGGTTCCACCGAAGTCGAAAAAGAAAAGAAGGATAGCGGGGCAGTCATGGCATTGGACTGGGACTCAAAAGATCTTGGTTCAGTTCCTGGCTCTGCCACAGACTTCTTCTGTGACCTTGGGCAAGTCACCTAAACTGTGTCTCAATTCCCGCTCTATAAAAAATTCTATTTTAAATTCTTCAGGGCAAAGACTGTACATTCTGTATGTATATATAGTGCCTAGCACCATGGGGTCCCAATTTCAATTATTTATACAAATAATAATAAATAATACACCAATTTACACCATCTGACGATCTGGTCCATACTCTTTGTTTGTTCTTTGGCATTTTCTTTAATCTAAAATAAAAATCATCCACTCTGAAATTACGCGTTTTCCCTTTATCTATGAAAAACATACCATTGGTGAATGACAAGATTGTTTGAGGTTTGTTTGATTGGTAGTTTTAAGGTGCGAGAATTACCTTCTATCCAACATTTTCTTCTTTCCCAAAATATACAATAGCGAATATAACTGCATATTTTTATTACGTACAAATAGCATGCTTTATTGTTTTACATGATTGAAAAGAGAAGCTAGCTAATGGTACATTTAAAATTAGTTCTGCTTTCACTGTCAAACACACCTAGTCAGCACATTTATAACTATTTAAACATTACAGGTTTCATCACTCAAATATGCAAATGATGTGTTATAAATTCGGTATCACTATGTTACATTAAAGAACTGCTTCAGAACACAGGATTAGACAGAGGAGCTGCTGGCAAAAAGGCTGGAACTCAGGTGTTTCACAAGAGCTCTGAAAGTGGAACTGGCTCTGGGGAAGCTTTGTCACTGATTTTGGCCTACCTTGTGCAACCTAGGTGCATGCTTTGGCCTACCTACGTGCATGCTTAACTTTATACATGCAAGTAGCACCACTGAATCCCTGTAAGCCTCCTTGTGCATGTAAAGTTAAACATGTTTGGAAGGATTGGGGTCTTAGTCATCTTTGTTCAAGGTGAACAGGGCTTGTTTAAATAACAGATAATACTATTCACCCCTATGCAGGAAGCCAGTACAAGACTTAGAGCACCAATTAAACCATCAAAATAGGAATTCAGTGGGACTTAAATGGTGTGTAGGCCTTGCACTGGCTCTTTACATGGGGGGGGGGAGGAATTTCTCTCAATGCAAATGAAATAGGATTCAAATCTCAGTGTCTCAACTGGGAGAGAATTTATTTATACAGACTCACTCAAGTCTCAGCTTTTACCTATCATTGAGAAGACAGTGCTTTCACAGTTCGTAATGGGCTCTAACATTATTTGCCCCACCATTTTCAGGGTCTTTTGGCAGAAGGGACAGTGCCCACAGCAACTGAACAGCAAGTGCACACAAAGAGTCTGAAGAACTTTCCAGGAAGGAAAACAACTTGGGCAGCAAAGTTGTATCTGGCATGATGATGACAACACTTAAATAAAGATAAATGAATCTTGCATTGTTCCAGCAAAACTTTGGAACCAAAGTAGAGCAAGCTGTGCAGTCTGTTTCAGAGATGGAATTTCTTATCTCTGTGGTGTCTATCAGAATGTTCTCTCTCACTAAGGCTGCTTGCTCAGCCTCTCCCAAACTAATTTGAAGAGCAGGGTAGCGGGGAGGTGTCTTAAGGCAACTGCTGTCCGATAAGACCAAGTCATGGGAGCCTCCACTATTGGGGTGGTAGTGCTCCACTCAATAAAATGAGAAAATAAAGGCAGAGCATATCAATGAATGTACCTCAATCCTAATGCCATATACCATTCCTTGTCAATTTACATCTCTTCCCAGATGAAGGGTCTATATGGTGCAATTGCTCTGATGCCCCCGACTGTATAATTAACAAATTCGTATTTCAAGCAGGGGTTCCAAAACCACAGCAAGACTTAGACTGGCAGCCAAGGAACAGCACTGATGGGCAAATAACAAACAGATGTAGATCTAAGGCAAATTACAGTGCCCCACTTATAATTTTGACCAAGAGTAGTTACTGGCTTCTTGTACTAAAACAGCTGGTTTGATTATGCCTGGTATCCTACAAAAACACTGTGTGGGAGCTAGAGCAGGTAAAGTCAGGAGTTCACGGTTCTGTTCCTGGTTCTAACAGGTGGTATATGGCCTGTATTTTGCCTGGGTGGGCATAATTTAAAAAGAAAAAGTTTTCTTATTTCTGACAGATCTGCTATCACCTTCTCTTTGAAGAGACTACATCATAATCCCTACTTTTATTGTACTCAAATAGGTGCCAGGAAGTTGAATTCATCAGCATAGCCTAGTGGACAGAGCACTGGACTAGAGCTCAGAAGACATAGGTTCCATTCCTGAGTCTACTATTAGTCTGCTGGGTGACCTAGGGTGATTTCACCTCTCTGTTCCTCAGTTTCCCTGTCTGTAAAATGGGGATGATGATACTCACATTCTTTGTCAAGCACTTTGAGACCTACTGATGAAAAGAACTGGGCATTATTATTATCAGTATTTAAGAGTGGTGTCCTGCCCGTTGTGAGGAGAAAGGCGAACGATGTTCTGGGAAGGAGGAGATGTGCCTTGTAGTGATAGACTTAAGGAGCTCAATTTATTTACCTTAACAAGGAGAAGATTAAGAACAGCCATACTGGGTCAGACCAAAGGTCCACCTAGCCCAATAACCTGTCTTCTGACAATGGCCAATGCCAGGTGCCCCAGAGGGAATGAACCAGATAATTATCAAGTGATCCATCCCCTGTCGCCCATTCCCAGTTTCTGGCAAACAGAGGCTAGGGACACCATCCCTGCCCATCCTGGATAATAGCCATTGATGGACCTATCCTCCATGAATTTATTCAGTTCTTTTTTGAACCCTGTTATACTTTTAGCCTTCACAACATCCTCTGACAAAGAGTTCCCCAGGTTGACTGTGTGCTGTGTGAAGAAATACTTCCTTTTGTTTGTTTAAACCTGCTACCGATTAATTTCTTTTGGTGACCCCTAGTTCTTGTGTTATGAGAAGGAGTAAATAACACTTCCTTATTTACTTTCTCCACACAAATCATGATTTTATAGACCTCTATCATACCCCGGAGTTGCCTCTTTTCCAAGCTGAAAAATCCCAGTCTCTCCTCATATAGAAGCTGTTCCATACCCCTAACCATTTTTGTTGCCCTTTTCTTTACGTTTTCCAATTCCAATATATCTCCTTCAAGATGGAATGACCACATCTGCACGCAGTATTCAAGTTGTGGGCATACCATGGACAAGATTATAATAAAATCCAATGGCTGGAATCTGAAGCTAGACAAATTCAGACAGGAAATAAGGTGCAAATTTTTAAGAGGAGGGTAATTAACCATTGAAATAATTTGCCAAGGGTTGTGATGTATTCTCCATCACAGGCAATTTTTAAATCAAGATTGGATGTTTTTCTAAGAGATGCTCTCATTTAAACAGGAACTAATTCAGGGAAGTCCTAGGGCCTGGTTTATAGAGGAGGACAAACTAGATGACTACAGTGGCCCCTTCTGGGCTTAGAATCTATGGAACTTGGTGAGAAGGGAATTCTTCCTGAAAACAGTGGAGGGATCTACCTGAAATGGGAAACTGGATGCGGAATGCAGACTTACTTTAAGAGGTGGAGGTTGTTATATCGGGACATCTACTATTGTTATTTACTATTGGAAAGATGCTCTAATATCATGGTGATGATATCACATCAGAAAACAGATGGATGAGATTAGATAAGATCTAGCATCACTGTTATCATCCTGCTTTACCCCAAATGTTTAGCTCTGCTCTTCAATTTGCTCCTGACAGACATGTCACTTATCAGGCTTCCAACAAACTGCAAATTTCCAAGAAAATCAACTTGTGTCATTTAAATGGGGAGTGCAAAAAATGTTTACCTGTTTGGGATGCTGTTTCGTAATTCTGCAGCTCAAAAACAGCTGTGTTCTCAAATGAGCATTGGCATGAGGTCATAACAAAGATTAGGTCCCTATAAATATGCTTTCTTTTTTAATTAGAGGGGTGAATTTAATATCTGTAAATTGGGTATTGCAGACACACAAGCCGTTTTTTCCCCAAAATTTGGTTTGTTGAAGAAAAAATTCACCTGTGTTGAAAAAAAAGGATTATACATCTGCAGGAGTTAATATATAGATATTAAATTCTAAAAACAAATTGTCTAGGGACAATAACAATATAGGAAAGTTCTAGCTATCCAGCTATGTATTTCTATTTGCCCCATAAATGTAGTAGATGAGCATCTCTCTCAGACACAATAAAATACAAATAAAAATGTAAGCAGGGTCTGAATGAGCTCTCCCCTGGCATCTAGTGATGAGATGGGGGAAAAGACTGCAGAAATAGACCATGTTTTTATAGCTACACCTACTCCGCCTTGGTGTGCCACATGATGGGACTGCTTTGCCAAAACAATCACTTTTGGCTGGTGTTGGATTACAAATCACGTTAGTATTGAGTGCAGGGATAATGAAATGTTGCTGTCCTTATTGTACGAGTAAAGGGCAGCAGAACTGTGCTTAGCCTGCCCTGATTGAGGGCTCACCCTAAACTGAACCTCACTCACTAAGCAGGATATAGGGGTGCCAAATCCCAGTGAAGGAGAGAAAGGATTTGGACTCTACTTAAAGAGTTCTGGAAACCATTTGATCTTCCCTCCTCCAGTGCTTAAGGACAGAACTAATTAGACTCAATTGAGAGTCATTACTCACTGTTAAGCACGACTAGGGGCTAGGCCTTAGACTTGGTATAGGGACAGTGCAAAGGCTAAAGAGCTGGGTTAAGAGGTGGAACCTCATAACATGGGATGGCAGAAGTAGGAGTGAGTGTCCAATAGTGGCAGCATGTGATCAATGGCAGCAAGAGAAAAGCAGCAGAGGCAGCGGCAAAGAGCCAGTTGCAGAGGCGCACAGCGACCACATAGACATTGCTTGACGGTCCACCCCCTTTCTGGAGTGGGAGGTAAACCCCTCTGAACTCTGGGTCTTCGCTGATCAAGGACGGCCAACTGTGAGTGGGGTGCAGCGGAGGAAGAGGGGAGTGATGTGTTAAAGGGACATTCATTTGTCAGACTTTCCCACTACAAGGTGGGAAACTGAAGCAGAATGTACTGTGGGGTCAGGGTCCATTATGGCCACATGCTTTTGAATGTGGTTGTGAAGTTTTCCCAAACTAATGCTTGGTTCCCTTTCCCTTTAAATAAAAGTATCTTTTGTTATATACAGACTAAGACTATGTCTACACTAGCACTTACTGCAGTATAACTTCTGTCGCTCAGGAGTGTGTAAAAGGCCTCTGATTTTACACTTTCTATTTACCAAGCTATAAAAGATGGTCATTAATAAATGAGTAAGTATTTCAATACATTTAAGCTAAAACATTATTTCAGTGTTATAATTTCAATGTGGAGCAGTTAATATATGGTAGTTGATGAGTAAACTCAAAACTCTTGCTTTCACCATTATACATCTGAGGCTAGACTATGGCTCTATTCGGGACAGTACTTATGCACGTGCTTAACTTTAAGAAGAATATTTGGCCTGCTCCAGGGACCAGTGAGGAGTGATGGAGACATGCCTGTACCTCATCCTCTCTCCACCTCCTCTGGAAGAGCTTACGTTCCTGACAGCACTAGATAGAGCACAGGGACTGTGATTCAAGAGGGAGAGAAATGCTCTTTGCACCCTTCCAGCCACACAAGAATCAGGTGCAATCTAGCCCAGGATTGCTTGTTATGATCAATTTATCTGAAGTCACTTAGAGACCATGTACTACAGCAGCGTGTCATTTCCGATACTGTATTTTTCTCTGCAAACTCAGATTCTTAGTGTTTTGCTAAAACACAGGCTGTTAAAATTTCATCTGTATTCATAAACTAATATTAACATATTCCTCCACACCACTTTAGCAACTTTTGGCTTGGGATCTCCAGAGGTGAAACCTGGCAACAGAAGCAGAAAGTTTCACTATAAAAATAGTTGATATCACACTTTTAAGATTACCGCAACTTCCCAGTTTAAGTAAGAACAAGTTAGTTTCTGAAATGTTCCTTAAATTGACCACTTCCTTTGACGTATGTAAAAAAATAAAATAAAAGGGCCAAATTCTGATAAACTCACACTGAGTAGCACCTTGCTCCATGTCTAATCCTACTGATATAAATAGGGTTACTCATGGAGTAAGGTGTTACTCATTGTGAGTAAGGGTATCAGAATCTTGCCCTAAATGTTAAACAGAAATTCAAGTTCTATTTATCATAGAATAATAGAAATGTAGGGCTGGGAGGGACCTCAAAGGTCATCTAGTCCAGCCACCCACACTGGGATTTAAAGTCCTGACAAATTTGACACTGGTCTCTCACGTGAAATTCTCCCAAACACTTCAGACAACTGAAGTGCGGGTCACTCATGGGCATAGGCTTGCCACAGGAGGCACAAGGTTTGAAGCCCGGAGACCACGGCACATCCAGCCCCGTGGGTGAAGAGAGCCCCTCGACAATAAGGGGTGGGGGTTCTATCTACCTAACACTATTTACAATATATGCACTATAACTATACTTAAGACTAACAAACTATAAAACAGAGTAAGAACCACGGAGAAGACCATCTTTCCGAAGCAAGAGGAGTTGTTCCAGCAACCATCACAGGTGGTAAGAAGGAACCGAGAGGGTGTGGGGCACTCCTTATACGAGCACATAAGTGCATGGTTCCAGGGGGTGCTAGAGCCAGCCACTGAGGGAAATATCTCCAGCAACAGTGCACATAGGGCACACACACCTACCATGGAATGGACATGAGCAAACACTCAAAGAACAACCAATCCTCTCCCTCTTTAAAACAACTCTTAACATATTTGAAGCCTGTTATAAGGTCCCACATCAGTCTTCTTTTCTCAAGACTACATGTGCTGAGTTTTTTAACCTTTCCTCATAGGTCAGGTTTTCCAAAACCTTTAATCATTTTTGTTGATCTCCTCTGGACTCTTTCCAATATGTCTACATCCTTCTTAAAGTGTGATGCCCAGAAATGGATGTACTACTCCAGCTGAGGCCTCACCAGTAGAGCAGGACAATTACCATCCGTGCCTTATAAATGAAATTCCTGTCAGTATTAGCCTTTTTTGCAGTTACATAACATTGTTGGCTCATGTTCAATTTGTGATCCACTATAAGCCCCAGATCCTTTTCAGCAGTAGTTATCCCCATTTTTTATTTGTGCATTTGATTTTTCCTTTCTAAAATGTAGTACTTTGCATTTGTCTTTATTGAATTTCATTTTGTTGGTTTCAAGCTAATTCTCCAATTTGCCAAGGTCATTTTTATTTTTTTTCAAAGAGTATAATGTTTTTCCACTTTTGAGCTCCGTTCTGCAAATGCTTACTGCAAAGGGTAATGCTTGATGCTGCATGTAGTCTTATTAAAATCAACAAGCACTTCCTTTGGTAGAAAGCTCTTGCAGATTAATGTCCTTTGTTTGTAATGCAAATCCAAGTAGGGCCATTATTGCAGTGCCCCTTTCAGATACATTTAGTGTAAAATAAAATAAAAAAGAAATCTTTCATACTCCTTAAAAACCCATATCCAGTCATTTTGTGTACACCTGTATATGTAAGTCCTAATTAAGATACATTTTAATATTACATTTGCCTAAGTGATGGAAGCTAACCATTACATGTTAAAGCATTCCTGAAACTGAAAGAGATTGATCCTCACCATTAAATTCAGTTTGTGATTAATTGCCAAAGCTGAATGTTCCAAGGCCTTGAAAACAGATGCGTAGCAGTCACTTAGTTTCGTATACTTGCCAACCAGAGCTATGGAGCATATCTTCAGCAACCTTTCATATCTGACAAAAGCAAGGTTTCTAATTATTATGCTCATATTATGCATTCTAACTAAGGCTGTTGATTAATCGCAGTTAACTCATGTGATTAACTCAAAAAAATTAATTGTCGTGATTAATTGCAATTTTTATCACACTGTGAAACAATACAAAAAACAACTGAAATTTATTATATATTTTGAATGTTTTTCTACATTTTCATATCTTACTCCTGGGGGAATTATGCACCACTGCACTTGCGCAGAATTTATGTCCCCAGCAGATTTCTTTGTTTCCCTGCAGAAAAATGACTTTCTGATGGGGAAGCAAAGAGACAACCACAAAAGCGGTCATGCGACCCTTCCCAGCAGTATGTTTTGAGTGACCAAAGCAGCTGGCAGAGAGGTAAATCACTGTGGGGTGGGGGTGGGACTGGGGAAGATGTGGCTGGTGGCTCCTACCCTGCGCCGGGCTCAGCTACTAGTCCTGGCTGGGCTGGGGAGGACGGGACTTCCTCTTTCCCTGCATGGCATTCAGGGCTGGGTCAGACCCACTCCCAGATTTCTCCCTCGGCTATAGGAAGCTCTGCAAACTCGCCCCCACACACACACCCGCACTTCCTGCACCCATCAGTCCTCAGTTGCAGGGGAAGGGATCATTGTACAGGGAGCTTCTCCCCAATCCATACAACCCCCATGCATCCAGACATTCCCATACCCAGACGCTCCTGCTGAGCCTCACCCCCTCTGCACCCAGAACCCTCCTGACGAGCCCCACTCCCCCTGCACCTGGCCCACCACAATGAGCAACCCACACCCAGATCCCCATTTACCAAGCCCCAACCAGCTGTACCTGGATCCCAACCCCACTGAGCCCCCCACACCCAGACCCCCCTACTGAGCTCTATCCCCATCCACACTCAAACCCCCCATGCTGAGCCCCAACCACCTTCACCAGGACCCTCCTGCAGAGTCCCAGTACCATTGAACCCAGAACCCCCCAACAAGCCCCTGTGCATCCAGATCCGCCTGCACCTCAATCCCCCACTGAGCCACCTGCACCCAGATTGCCCCACATAGAATCTGTCAACCCACACCTGGATTCTCCCCACACTAAGCTCCTCCACACTTGGATCTGCCTTGCTGAGCCTGCCTGCCCACACCTGGTGCACCTGGCACGGAGGGGCAGGGCTCTGGGGTGTCTCTGGGGCAGGCCTGATCCTTGCACTGTGTCAAGGTTGGGTGCAGCCTCACCACTGAGTTTGTTTTCTGGGAGGGGGGAGCTGCACAGTGATCTTCCACCTCTGTGCAGCCAGTGGCCTGTGCTCCCCAATGCCATGCTGGAGCCTCCACATTTATTTGACAAATAAAATTTGCAGAATTTTAAAATATTGTGCACAGAATTTTAAATTTTTTTGGTGCAGAATGCCCTCAGGAGTAATATATATTGTATTCTATGTTGTAATTGAAATCAAAGCATATATTATTTTTATTACAAATATTGCACTGTAAAAATGATAAAAGAAATAGTATTTTTCAATTCACCTCAAAGTAGTGCAATCTCTTTGTCATGAAAGTGCAACTTAAAAATCTAGATTTTTTTTTGTTACATAACTGCACTCAAAAATAAAACAATATAAAATTTTAAAACCTACAAGTCCACTCAGTCCTATTTCCTGTTCAGCCAACCGCTAAGACAAGCAAGTTTGTTTACATTTATGGGAGATAATGCTGCCCTATTCTTATTTACAGTGTGACCAGAAAGTGAGAACAAGCATTTGCAAGGCACTTTTGTAGCCAGAATTGCAAGGTACTTACGTGTCAGATATGCTAAACATTCGTATGCCTCTTCATGCTTCGGCCACCATTCCAGAGGACATGCTTCCATGCTGAAGACGCTCATTAAAAAAATAAGGCGTTAATTATATTTGTGGCTAAACTCCTTGGGGGAGAATTGTATGTCTCTGGCTCTGTGTTTTATCCGCATTCTGCCATGTATTTCATGTTACAGCAGTCTCAGATGATGACCCAGCAAATGTTGTTCAGTTTAAGAACACTTTCACTGCAGATTAGACAAAACACAAAGAAGGCACCAATGTGAGATTTCTGAAGATAGCTACAGCACTCAACCGAAGGTTTAAGGATCTGAAGTGCCTTCCAAAATTTGAGAGGGATGAGGTGTGGAGCATGCTGTCAGAAGTCTTCAAAGAGCAACACTCCAATGCAGAAACTACAGAACCTGAACCACCAAAAAAGGACATCAACCTTCTGCTGGTGGCATCTGACTCAGATAATGAAAATGAACATGCGTTGGTCCGCACTGCTTTGGATCATTATTGAACAGAACCCATCATCAGCATGGATGCATGTCCCCTGGAATGGTGGTTGAAGCATAAAGGGACATATGAATCTTTAGCGCATCTGGCTTATAAATATCTTGCAACGCCGGCTACAACAATACCATGAGAACACCTTTTCTCACTTTCAGGTGACATTGTAAACAAGAAGCAGGTAGCATTATCTCCTGCAAATTTAAACAAACTTGTTTGTCTGAGCGATTGGCTGAACAAGAACTAGGACTGAGTGGACTTGCAGGACATGCAAAGTTTAACATTGTTTTATTTTTTAATGCAGGGTTTTTTTATATGATTCTACATTTGTAAGTTCAACTTTCATGATAAAGAGATTCCTCTACAGTACTTGTATTAGGTGAATCGAAAAATACTATTTCTTTTGTTGTTTTACAGTGCAAATACTTGTAATCAAAAATAAATATAAAGTGAGCACTGTATAGTTTGTATTCTGTGTTGTAATTCAAATCAATATATTTGAAAATGTAGAAAGCATCCAAAATATTTAAATAAATGGTGTTCTATTATTGTTTAACAGTGCGATTAATCACAATTAATTTTTTGAATCATGCGATTAATCATGATTGATTTTTTAATTGTTTGACAGCCCTAATTCTAACAAATGTTTCTTTTCTAAAAATAAGATCATAAAATACCCCATTTTAAAAAAACATAAAAATTTTTAAACTTAGAAGGCCATAGCTTCAGCAGGCATAAGTCAGCATTGCTACACTGACTACAGTGGAACTATATCACTTTATGCCAATTCAGGACCTGACCCAGAGTCTTATATTCATAATGATTTAAAAACTTTGAGAAAACGTAATAAGAGTTACAATACCTGCCTGCCATTTTCTTCCATTTGAAAAGAAGATCACTTGGTTGGTCATCAATAGGTAGGTTTAATCTCTGTTTAAAATATTTAATAATGCCTTGTTCTTCCAACAGGATCGGCACTCGGTAAGTGGAAGAAACATCATGGATAAATATCACCTAGTAAATAAATTGCGATTATAAACGAAAATTGGTCTTCTAAATACTTGCATACGAAACATAAAAGCTAAGGAGATTCATACCTACAGAACAAATGTAATTCAATACATATACTTTGCCCATATACTAAAATTAGATAAAGCAACATAATCAATGTTTAATGTCCCTCTCAATCACTTATCTGTAAAGAAAAGCTATTTAAAGTATAAAGATGAGGATTCCCTCAACGTTTCCCTTCTTTACCCCACCAGAGTAGTGGACAAGCTATGTATTATTATTATTATTATTATTATTTGTATTACCATAACACCTAGGAGACCTAGTCATGGACCAGGACTGTGCTAGGCGCTGAAGAAAATGCTTCACTGTGACAAAGGCCTCAGTCCTATGAACATACATGCGAGTAACGCCATTGAGGTCAATGTTGCTACCCACGTGAGTTTGCAGAATCTGGATGCATAGTGTGTGTTCCAGATGTAAACATATCTAGTGTGTTTTAAAATATTAATACTAAGATCTGTTTATATGTGAGGCCCCACAAAAAGTTAGAGATCAAGTTGGTTTTCCTTTTTAACAAATAAACAAACAAACAAACATACATTGCAGTATATTTATTGCCTGAAGAAAGAACATGAATGGAGCCTGCTTCCTATTTGCAAAGAAAAGCTCTCTACTGGGGCCTAAAGAGTTAATGGTGTTTTCAATAATGGAGGGTTTTCTTAACCACACTATATTATGCAGTCAAATGGTAGACGTTCCAATTCAAAAATATATTTATAAATGTACCCTCAATATAAAGTGTGACCAAATTGTCAATAATTAAGCTCACTATATTTAGCCTGCAGGAAATTGTGGAATCTAAAGTCCTGAGTATGAATCTATATGCCCTCTCTTGATGTCATGTATGGAGATCTGCTTGATAAGGAATGGCTAGTTACCCCCACAGTAACTGCAGTTCTTCAAGATGTTGTAGTCAGTGTAGATCCCACTGTAGGTGGGCATGTGTCTCATGCATGGAATAGCGGAGTTTTTGACTAACTGTGTTATTAGGGCTGCGCCTGCACTCTGTTCTCTCTAGTGCACCCATAGAAGGACCCAAAGGTTGGGGTAACTGCAACCCTCCCTCAGTTCCCTCACAATTCAAAGCTTGTGTTAGCCAGGGACTCCAAAAAGAAGGGATGGAGGACAGGTCGTGGCATCCACATTGATGACATCTCAAAGAACTACTGTTACTGTAAGGTTTCAGAGTAGCAGCCGTGTTAGTCTGTATTCGCAAAAAGAAAAGGAGTACTTGTGGCACCTTAGAGACTAACAAATTTATTTGAGCATAAGCTTTCGTGAGCTACAGCTCACTTCATTGGATGCATAGAATGGAACATATAGTAAGATATAGATAGATATAGATATATACACACACACACACACATATACATGCAGATAAGTTAAATATTACCATACAAACTGTGAGAGGCAAATTAGTTAAGATGAGCTATTATCAGCAGGAGAAAAAAAACTTTTGTGATAATCACTACAAAAGTTTTTTTTTCTCCTGCTGATAATAGCTCATCTTAACTAACTAGCCTCTTACAGTTTGTACGGTAACTTCCAACTTATCTGTATGTGTATATATATACACATAATATATATATATACATACACATATCTTACTATACGTTCCATTCTATGCATCCGATGAAGTGAGCTGTAGCTCACGAAAGCTTATGCTCTAATAAATTTGTTAGTCTCTAAGGTGCCACAAGTACTCCTGTTCTTGTTACTGTAAGGTAAATAACCATTCTTTCTCCTGCGACTATGTGTCAGAGTGGATCCTGCTGTAGGTGACTGGCAAGCGGTAACCTCTCTGGATGATAGGAGTGAGAAGTTCCAGCTGCATCAGTCAAACAGTAATTGAAGCACTCCTTTCCAAAAGTTGGGATCTGGCTGCCATGTCAAGGATATAATATTTAAACAAAAGTCAGTGGGTTGCTGCAGGCTGCAAGATCTCAAAGACTGAAACATTCCTGAAATAGGCACTGGACACTTGCTGCCTTTGCCCCAGTGAAGTGTGCCTTGAAGTTCGGAGGGAGAGACTCATCAGCCATCTGATAGCAGGCGGAAAATGAACTTTGTGATCCACTTACAGTCTCTGTGACAAGATGGCTTGGCCTTTTGATGGACCAGAAATATCCACAAAGAAGTTTGGATTCAGCCTGAAAGGCTTGGTCCTGTTAAGATCATTGAGCAAAGCTCTGGATACATCCTAGTATACAGCTTCTTTTATCCCAGAGTCAAATGCAGCTTTGAGAAGAAGACTGGTAGGGTGACTGACTGGTTCAGGTGAAATTCTAAGACTCCTTTAGGGATGAACCTGGGGTGTGATTTCAACATCACTTTATCACTATGGAAGGATGTGAAAGGCAGCCCAGCTATGAGGGCTTAGAACTCACTGATCCTCTGTGCTGAGGGATGGCCACCAGAGACACCATCTTGACAGTGGGTGGTATAATGAGCAATCCCACAGTAGTTTAAAAGGAGGCTCCATGAGTTTTTAGGCGAATAATGCTGAGGTCCCACATAGTCGTCGGTGTCTAACCAGAGTTTAAGTATAAAGGAGGCCCTGGAGGAATTTCAATACCGTCAGATGAAAGAAGTTAGAGTATGACTGTACTAGATTATGGCAGACCAATATTGCTGCAAGGTGAATCCTGAGAATGTAAAATGCTTGTCCTGCATGCTTCAGGAGCAACATGTAGTTGAGAATCTTCAGTGCCAGGTCCTCTAATGGGTCCCTATTGTTTTGGACTTCCCACACAGAAAATCTTTTCCATTTCGGGACACAGGTCTTCCTGGTGGAAAGTTTCTAGCTCTGTCTGAGAATTTCTTGAATCTGTAGGGAGCAGTCTCTGCAAGTAGTGTTCAATCAGCCGACCACCAAGCTATCAGGTGCTATGACTTGTGAGTCTGGGTGCAGTATCTGACCTTTGCTCTAAGATATGTGTGGGCAGGTTAGGAGCTGGCTAAGAGGCCACCTCAGACATCTACAATAGATCTGACACCAGAACTGTCTCATCCAGTAAGAGGCTATCGGGATGATCGCAGCCTTGTCACATCTAATCGTGGATATTCCCCTGGGAATCAGAAGAATCGGCAGAAAGGCATAAAGAGGTCCTCAAGGCCATTGAAGAATCAAGGTGTCTAGTAATGAGCCTTGGCTGACCCCCACCCTTCTAGAGAAGAAGTCTGGGCCATAGGTAGTAAGAAGGAACTGAGGGAGGGTTGTGGCCATTCAGGCCCTTATGCTCTCATTCAGGAGCATAAGGCAGCACTGGGTGCATACATGGCTCCGACCAACACTGCTATTCAAACAAACTCCAGTCTCATATGCATCAAGTGCATGTGCACCTACAATGGGAGCCACACTGACACACTCAGAGAAGAACTGTAGTGTCTACACGAGCCACGTATGAATCTATTATGCTTGTTAACATGTAAAAGCTTTAATACTCCAGAAATATTGGATAGTATTTGCATGTTTATTTTGGGGTACTGAAGAGCCATTGACAATTTAGTCACTGCTAATGGTGATGTTATAAAAAGTTTACAAAGGATTAATAACTGATGTAAATGTTATATGCACATTAAAGACATAAATAGGATGCTATACATGGTTATAGATGCATCAGTAAAAGCTGTTATAGGTTATTATAAACCATGGTTTCAAGCAACCTTCTGAAGTATTGTTCTAACAATTTATAACAACTGATTAAACATGTATTCAAAATCTAATTCTTAACCCTTTATAAACAATCTGTAATTGGATCCTTTGTAGTAAGCGTGACAAAATTATTAAAGGCTATTTGACATACCAAAATTAACATGTAAACAATAACCAATACTTTTGAGTAGTTTATATTTTATATATTGATTATTTTATATTTCATCATATAATTGCTTGCAATTTAAAAATCAGTGGATTATTGAAACAAGTATTTCTTGGAGATTAAAAACAGAAATATATTCAGATATTTAAGGTGTATAAAACTAGAAAAATCATAATTGTATAGTTTGAGAAAAAGAAAGATGATGGCCAAGGAAGTCTGAAAGTACAAACCTGTTCAGGTTCCACATGGCAAAACATGGAAATCTTTTCCTTCACTGCCATTTCGATAGGCTTTGTACTTCTGCAGACTATCTGTCAAAATACATCATAAATAAGAGGCATGGAAAAATAAGATAGGAAAAGACTCTAAGTAAATGGAAGCTCCTCAACATTAAATATGGAAAAGATTGACATCTCAAGAAACAACAGCCTGGACAAATAATTTTTTTCTGTTAGTTCTACAATATATCATAACACACATAAATACCATTTAACAAGAGATAGCTACATCAGATCTCCACCAACATATCCATACCTTTATTCACCTACTTTCCTGTTTTCTACTTTTTATATTTCCATTGCTTCCTCTGCTTCCAACGCTACCTCTCTATTATCCTCCTCAATTCTCCCCTTCTTCCTGACCCTACTCTTTATTCTTTCATGCTTTACTAGTTTACTCTTCAGGTATCATTTGAGTAACACACAAAATAGCAAAGAATAAGGAGAGTCAAAAGTGTGATACATTATCACCAAGTTTGTTGTGTTTTTGTCAGTTATCCTTTGTTTATTTACATGACTTTCTTTATCCTTCCAGTACCTTAACAGTACATTTTGGTTTGTTTGTAATTCACCTGACTGCTGCCCAGTGGACCTGGGAGCTGCTCTGTGTCCCTGAAAGAGAAGATCAACAGACCAAAGAGAGGAGTTTCTTTTCTTTTCTAACTTTCCAATTCCCTTTTTCTGATGTATTTATATCTGTGAATCCTTTGTGCTGAAAGCAGGACATTTGCGAATTTGTGGAAATATTTGCAATTTTTACCAACAAGGAATTTTTTTCCCAGGACAGATATTAAGTGATTAATTTCTCAATTATTATTTATGTTACCATAGCATGTAGGAGCCTTAGTCCCCATGATGTCAGGCACTGTACAAACACAGAATGCCTTTCCCCCCTATTTATGATTTGTTTGTGTGCAAGTGCTGATTATATTTTTAAAAAGCCTTTTTGTTCAGTAAACTTGCTCTTACTCCTTGATCACTTTGCTAAGTAAAATACATGCCAACTGAATTTTATTTTGCCTACCCTTAAAACAGGTACTCCAGTATGGAAAAATGTAATGCAAACCATAAAGTAAGAACTAGTGCAAGTTCTAATAGTTAAAGAAGAATTATGTAAGTAATTTTTAAATTCCCTTTACCTAAATGTGGATGAATATTCAGTTACACTTAAAAATTGACTTCTGTCTTGGAGAAAGGCTTTATCAACCATGACAATGTGTGTTCAAGATATTACAGAGAAGTCTACAATTCTTAACACACAGCTTCCAAGAGGGTGACACCAGGAGGTTAAGAGTTGTCTGCATGATGCGGTAAAATTATTGCTAATGGAGTCATAAAATTAAATGCATCAGCAATAGCAGGAAATAAAAAACTGCTGGTTTATATTTCCCGAAGCAATAAAATACAGGTTCACAGTAGGAATTATATAATTCAAGAAGGCAGCATTGGCAACCAGACAAGATATAATTTTTCAAGATGTCATGAGGGAGTCCCTTGGATGTATAGAGATTGTGCTCTATTTTCAAAGCTCTTTAGCTTAGAAGAAGACTACTCCACTCTGTTTTAGTGGTCAACAGCTACAGATAGTAGGAACATTATTGTTCTTATGCCTGAATTCAGGATATGGGAAAGTGACTACATTAATCTGTTTTCCTTTCATTCCACACTCAAAAATTAACAGTTTTTAAAAGTCTAATTTTCACAATAAGGCACAGGCAATTACTTTAACTATCTCCAGAAATCAGGTGCCCATTTTGTGTCTGAAGTTAATTGCATGCAACAGAGTTTGAAATTTAGGCCCTAAATCCTGAAATATTGGGTATGAGTGAAAACTTTGCATCAAAACCAGTTAAAGTTACTAAGTCACAACAGGTTTCAGAGTAGCAGCCGTGTTAGTCTGCATCCGCAAAAAGAAAAGGAGGACTTGTGGCACCTTAGAGACTAAATTTGTTAGTCTCTAAGGTGCCACAAGTCCTCCTTTTCTTTTTAAGTCACAACAGTGTGGTTACCTATCATGTCCTTTACCAAACTGATGATGTTGCAGTTACGATTAAGGGATTTTGATAACTGTATTCTAATGGATGTTAAGACAGCCTAGAATGAAAATATAGGCACTGTTTTTTAAACAGTGAAAACTGAAATAAAGCAAAGAAATGAGAAGCTAAGATAATAAATCTTACCTACCCTACATATAACTGTAGACATTATCATTATCAGATGACAGAAAATGCATCACAATGAAACAACCTTAATGCTAATCTATGGATTGTTTGACTTTACGTATTTTTTATTAGCTTGATTTCAGTAGCTAAATATTTTCTTTAAATAGATATTTTTAAATGGGAAATATTGGTTAATATATTTATCCATTAACAGTAAAAAAAACTGGTACAGTGCCTATAATTGTTTTTTCCTTGATAGTAATATGTACATAGTTTAATTGGAAAATTATGTAATGTTATTAATGTATGATAAAATTAAGTAGGTACTCTTGCATTACAGGCTTATTGATATGGATCATTGAAGTGTACATACAGAATTGTTTCCTTTTCATAACTGCATCATACTGTTTATTTTTCGAGTTTCCTAATGACAGAATAGTATTTATTTTGAGTAAGCATTAGGGTTGTTGGGTGATAATTAAATAGTTCTTTTATTCTTGATAACACTAATGTGTTTGTTTATTATACATAGAGGTGAATTCACTGTGACTTAACAGTCTCAACTGTTGTTTTTAAAGATTACTTTTAAGTTTTGGAATTTGCCAGTGTGTGTTTTCTTTGGTTTGTATTTGCTTGTTTGTTTGGGGGTTTTTTTGCATCTTACATTTCTTCCTTTGTATCAGAAAATAAACGGACAGGGTTTGAATGTTCTTTAACAAACAGTATTCCGTCTTACCACATTTAAACCATTCAGGTGATTTATGAGATATAATTTTAAAATTTGTTATAGTTAGTATGGACAACTGATTCTGGAACATTCCCCCCACATATACAAATATTAACATTTTTATAATGAACCACAAAAACATATTTAGTTTAATGAGTTATAAAAAACATATTCATTTATTTTATGATCTCTGCTGGATAGGAGGCTTCCAATTTGTAGAAATTAAGGTAATCGGAAAGTCCATTTTTATTTATTGGATTTTAGAAAAGAAAATTGGCAAAGTTTAACAAGTCTGCCACAAGTACAATGTAGATAGCCCAAACACTCCGTGGGAGTTCTGTCTGGGAAAGGCACAAAGGGCCAGGCTTTCAAAGTGCTGGCAGATTGATTAATTTTGCAGTGTTCATTACTGAGATTATTGATTTACCTGTGAAAGGAACAAAATTCAATAACTTTGTTCTACCAAATTACACTTAATTGGTATTCCAAACACAAGGATGTACTTTATGACTGAAACAGTAACATTTATCCAGAATAACATATGAACTAAACAGTTCTCTCTCTTGGAAAGGTTCAGGAAAGAGAAAATTTACCAAAAAAAAGGGAGAACACAATCTTTACTTGTGTATGTTGTCATTGTATAATAACATAATTATACCAAACAGCAGAGTTATGTATCTTACTAGGGGCTTGATATTGTAAGATACTACACACTTCTATGAAGTGCTAAGCAGCTTCAACTCCCAACAGAGTCAGTGGGAGCAGGAGGAAGCTCAGGACATTAAGGGAATGCCCAACACCTTGCAGAGCTGAGCCCTTAGAACTTTATTATGGTTTTGCCCAGAACCCAAGCAAAGGGCTGCTACTAGAGCAGACCAGGAAGCAGATTCTGGCTCAGATCATCGCAATCTGTCTCCCCTCTGCTCCGAAGACAAAGTTCCCCATGACAAGCTTCTACACAGTCCAGCATATTTTATTCGGAGAACAAGCATATCTTTGCTAGGTAGTGTGCTGGCCTCTCCTGCATGAGGAAGGACACAGTGGCTCTTTGGAGCCTGCTTTCTGCCCCCGCCCCCCGCTTCCCCTGTGATACAGGCCAGGTTGAGGAAATAATGCGACACCTTTGCACATCATTCACACATTTTATAATTAAATTGTTGGTCTGAACATCAATATTTTAATTGGACACACATTTTCAAACGATGGATTATTTTTCTGAACTCATTAGTAAAACTGATGATACAGCCTCACATCCCAAGAATTCCTCTCAGAATAGATCCAACCTTAACCCTAGACTTTTAAAGCCACATATGGAGATTTGGATATAAGACTCTTTAAGGGGAAGTGCACAGCTAGGGATATTTTAGGGATTAAAGTGTATTGACATTCAGTACATTTTTGTAGTTTAATTTCTTTGGTTTTTTAGTACACTGGTATGGTCCAAGTTGCTTTCTTCCCCTCCCTCGTAAGGGCTTGTCTACACTTGAAATACTACAGCAGCATAGCTGCACGACTGCAGCTGCGCTGCTAAAGCACTTCAATTTAGACACTACCTCTGACAATGGGAAGGATTCTCTCATTGGCATAGATAATCCACCTCCCCTATAGGTGGTAGCTAGGTCAACAGAAGAATTCTTCCATTGACATAGCACTGCCTATACTAGGGGTTAGGTCAGCGAACGACAGCGCTCAGGGATGTGGGTTTTTCATACTCCTGCGTGACACAATTAAACCAACTTAATTTTCTAGTGCAGAGCAGGCCTAAGACAGATCCCCTTTCCGAGTAGAAAGAACTGCAGTCTTATGCTTTGAATTATTTACATGCACCAATATATCTAGATGACCGATAAACACAGATTTTATCATAGCCTTATGAACTCACCAGATCCGGAGACAAACCTAGGCCTCTCAGCGCTCGAACACTGTTCTGTGTAGGTTTTGTTTTCTGTTCTCCAGTAGCATTAGGCTGGAAACATATTTTAAAGGCTGAAACAGTAACTCAGTTATAGTATCAGGACAATAGTTAAAAACAAAGAAATGTCAGTGAAAGTAAGGATATTGATAAAGAGAAAAAGGTCTACATCAAAGCAAAGCACAATATGTTAGCATGGAGAATACTAACACTGTATTATTTTATGCATTAGAAACCCTTTGGAATTTCTAGCCTAACAGCACTAATTCAGGCCAACTGTCTCTTTTAGACCAGTCTATAGAGAGTATAGGGCTCAGAACTGTGGAGGAGAAACATCCAAAACTGGACCTTCTGTAATAGCTCGGAAACTCCACAAAACAGTGCCATGCCTTCAGGGACCTTCCACAAGTGGAACTGATTGGAATTTAGTACACAACTCTGTCCTCAAATATACACATTCAATTACCATTGAAATTAATTGTAAATGGATTAATATAAATCAGGACAGAATAGGCTCCTTTTTATCTATCCAAAATTATAATCCAAAAGAATAATCCAAAAGGATAATCCAAAAGAAATTCTGGAAAATATGGTGGTATTGTCAGTCCCCCACGTCTACTTTCCAAAAACTTGCCTATAAATATTTACAACTTTAAAAAAAAACTTTTAATCTATTTATTGGCGTAAAAGTCATGGTTAGATAGAACAAAAAATTTTCACCAGTATAAAGCAGATGTAAACTCACAGATGAGTTAGTTTTATTAGTCTTCAGTTACATTACCTGGAATACTAAAAGGGAGACAATTAAAGAATATTGGGTGAAATCCTGGCTACAGTAAAAACAATGGCAAAACTCCCACTGGCTTCAGAGGAGCAAGGATTTCACCCATTGTCTCTTTAAGCTTTAAAACACTGACTCCCTCCACTACAACCCCTAAAAAATGATATAGAATGCAGTACAGGGAAAAACTTAACTGAAAATGAAAATATATTATCTTACTAACTTACCTGTGGTACAAGGCTAACGTGGATATTGCAGAAGTTTTCTCTTTTTGCCTTAAACTGGAACTGTCTGAATGCCTCAACAAATGGCATTCCTTCAATGTCTCCAATAGTTCCACCCAGCTGAAAAAGAAGGCTTAGAATTTACTACTGCTCTGTCAGTTAAAAAAATTAATTTCTACTTTGTCAGCCCTGAAAATTTCAATTGCTCATCTCAGTTGTGCATGTTGTAAGAGTGAGAATGAATGAAGTATGGTTCTGAAGGCACATCTTGTAAAGAGCCTTTGCATCATTACATGGGCCACTTCATGTGGAAAACTTTACTCATTTTCAATGCTGATTTTATTCACTTTCAATGCTGAGGGCACAGTTTTTCACAAGAATAAGTCTGTTAACACCGAAAACTTTATGCTTTATATACAATTTTCAGTATCTTGGAGACACCTGTATTCTTGAATCAAGTAGTAAGGAACAAGTTATCAATACAGTAAACTGCAATTTGGTAATTGAGAATGAAAATGTTTTTTAGTTTCCTGTTTGCTGAATTAATAATAACTGAGGTAAATATGAAAAGGGCATCTAATGCTATTATCATAGCTCTACAATGGGATAAACTGCACATCACCAGTTTGGCATCCTAGTAAAAGCAGAAATAATTAGAAACATTTTATGCCAGAACAAGATAGAAGTAAGGAATAAATTAAATTAATAAAGAAAGGTATTCAGCAATAGCTAGATTCACAAAAAGAAAAGGAGTACTTGTGGCACCTTAGAGACTAACCAATTTATTTGAGCATGAGCTTTCGTGAGCTACAGCTCACTTCAGATGTAGCTCACGAAAGCTCATGCTCAAATAAATTGGTTAGTCTCTAAGGTGCCACAAGTACTCCTTTTCTTTTTGCGAATACAGACTAACACGGCTGTTACTCTGAAACCTGTCAATAGCTAGATTGGAGCTGCATAAACAGATAGAAAGACTGGAGCTGCATAAGCAGTCTTCCAACAAGATCGTTAAAAGCAAAATTATCTCAGAATGTGGTCTGATGTGCCCTCTTGTGGTCTCTGGAATCATTGCACATTTTTGTTCAACTAAAATTAAAACACACACACACACACACACACAAAGACTTCACTGTATTTGACATATATAATAAACCTACTTACTGCAACAATTTGCAATTGATAAATTATATTTGTAACCTGAAAGCCTTGAAACCGTATTTGAGTGTGTCTTGGTCTCTACAGAAAGTTTCCTGATTTGGAAAAAAGAATCACTGACAGCCTCACCCCTATCTAATATAAGGAAGTTCCTGTGCACTTTTCTGTTTATTGCTCTGTCTAAGCTTAAAGGAAATGTTGGATCTATATTGTACACTTCATAAATATAGTGGAATCTTTCTAATCAAGCCGAAACCTGAGGCTAAAATCAAGGCTGGATTGTTTTTCCAAAAGATATGCTATAGTTCAAAAAGAAACTATGAGCTTCATACAGAAATAAATAAGTGTCTATGGCCTGCGTTATGCTGGAGTTCAGACTAGATGATAATAATAGTCCTTCCTGGCCTTAAAATCCATTAAATACTCTTTCTTCGAATTCCCAGACATGTCTTCTTGAAAAATTTCATTGAAACTTGAATGATAATAAATAGTACTACCTAGCACTTACGTAGTGCTTTTTGTCCTTACATCTCAAAGTGCTTTATACAGGAGGGACTATACTGTTTTGCAAGACCTTAAAAATAAAATAGCTAAAATGTGACCTCAATCCATAAGTTCTTAGATACATTCTTGAAAGCATGATCATGAACAACCTGAAAGGATCCTTGGTTTGAAGATTGCAAGCTATGATTTGAAGAGTTCTTCTACTGACTATGATGTCATGATTTCTGAGATCATCAAGGAAATTAAGTCCTGCTCCTTAATATTGTTAACCCAGTGTACGTAGCTGGAATCCATTGTATATGGCTTGTGAAAATAAATACACCGGAACTTAATTACACTGACTGGCTGCTTTAAGAGAGTATCAGTACCTAAGGAGCCACTCTTCAGCAAGTTTCAATGCTCTGCATGGGGATTTAATCACATTAATGGAAGTCACAGGGAGGAATCCATGCATTACATACTCAGAATCAACGCCAAGGGCCATACAGTATTTGTGTGTCTTTGTTGTTGCTATCCATATCAACTCAGCCTGACATATATACACAGCACAAAACAAGGGAGGAAACAAAAGTTCTGTTTATTCATCACACATAACCAACCCCATGGATTACATCTGCCAAGATGGGAAGTTTCATACTTGCCTCAATGACACATATTTGTGGCTCTTTCTTGTCACTGTCCACAGGAACCTTTGCCTGATTCATCACCCATTCTTGAACAGCATCAGTAATGTGTGGAACAACTGCAAGGCAAATGAGAAAAGGAAGCACTTCCTAATGTAGGACCACATATTGCTTCCCACTTAGAGAGGAGAGAAAAACACAGTGAGCTGGGAAGATGAAAGGGGGAAGCAGCAGCCCCATGGCATGTTCCTCCTTTCTTTGAGCCTGCAGAAGTCCCTCCAGAAGACTGAAGTATGGCCAAATCTTGTTGGCAAGGAGGAAGGGTTTAGTCAAGGCAGCAAAGAGCAGCTGCTCTATGCAGTATGCACCCTCTGAAACCCGAATGGATGAGCATGCCAGCACTTCCGGTGTGAATGACTGCATGCAAATTGAAAAGGATGTTCCTGAATATTTATAGATGCAACTGAAATTTGCTCTTTGGAAAACATATATGCAAGTAAAGCTTGATTACTGGAATGCACATGGGAAGCAAACTCCTCCTGGACCATCTGGAGGACAGAACAATGTGCTCAACTAGAAAAATAGGCAGCTTCAGCACACTTACCTACTGCACTCAAACTGTCCTTGATCTAAATTAACTTACAATTTCAGTTGCCCAATTTATCAACAAAATTAGCATAAATCCAGGAAAGTATTTGAAGTGAGCACTTCATTCACATTAATCCAGTAATGCAAATATGTCAGTATCCCTCTGAATAAATAAAAGTTACCCAAGTAATTGTTCTAAACAGTCTTTATTAGAAACTCAAATAATCTGCATGACTTTAACCTACATGGAAAGTGTGACGTTGCACTCCATATGATTTTATGAAAATATGCTAATGAGTGTGAATATAATGTAACTGGAATATGATTCATGCAAAAGGTCTCTTGTAAGGTATCATTACAAAGCTTATAATCTACTGAATGTGATCATCCTATTTGTATACATGTATCATTCTTGTATCTGAAACTAGAAATATGAACTATAACTCTGAGGTCCTATTGTAATTATGCAACATGTGGGTCATTAATGGTGGTTTGGAATCTTGATGGCTCCCATCAACTAGGACAGTTGGTTGTAAATGGCTCTGTTTACTTGCAAACCTTCCTGTGAGTCAGGCCAGGAAGAATGAAGGCTTGGGGTCTCACAGGACATGTGACCATTTCACCTGGTACTGGAATCCATCTTAAACCTGGTGCTTTTCCATTTAGAAGGAGGGGTGGGGACCCACAGAGGCAAAAGATTCCCGCCTTGTGCCAAAGCTATATAAGGGGGTGGAACAGAACAAAGGAGGTTCCAATCATGAGAAATCCCCTAGTTACTACCTGAGCTGGAGCTAACAAGAACTGTACCGGGGGAAAGGACTGGGCCCAGACTAGGAAGGAGTCCAGTCTGTAAAAGAAGCTTATTGGAACATCTCAGGGTGAGATTTTATCTGTAATCAGTTCTTAATATATTAGGCTTATACTTGTGTGTTTTGTTTTATTTTGCTTGATAACTAACTTTGTTCTGTCTGTTATTACTTGGAACCACTTAAATCCTACTTTTTATACTTAACAAAATCACTTTTGCTTATTAATTAACCCGGAGTAAGCAATTAATACCTGGGGGACCAAACACCGTGTATATCTCTCTATCAGTGTTATAGAGGGTGGACAGTTTATTAGTTTACCCTGTATATGCTTTATACAGAGTAAAACGGATTTATTTGGGGTTTGATCCCATTGGGAGCTGGGTGTGTGAGTGCTAGAGACAGGAGCACTTCTTAAGCTGTTTTCATTTAAGTCTGCAGCTTTGGAGCGCGTGGTTCAGACCCTGGGTCTGTGTTGGAGCAGACTGGCATGTCTGGCTCAACAAATTAGGGTCCTGTAGGCCCAAACTGGCAGAGAAAACCAGCTTAGAGGTAGTCACAGCACATCAGGTGACAGTCCCAAGGGGGTCTCTGTGACCGAACCCGTCACGGAAAGTACCTTGAACTGTCTTTCCCAAGTAATCTCCATGTCTTTCTTTATTGATTACATGTTGATAGATCTTTCCAGTGGTGATGTTATTATCTTTATATAGGTTGATGTCCAAGAATCTTTCATAATTTCCCAAGTCTAAGTCAACTTCTCCACCATCATTTAGTACAAAAACTTCACCTGAAAAAGAAAATGAAAAGGTACAAAATAAATTGCCCTGGGTTTTCCTCCTACATTAACACATAGGAAAACAATGTAATGATTACAAATTACTAAATAAATGGCAGGAATTCTGCAAACATAATAAATACATTTTAGTAAAGGTGCTGTATAAATAAGTGCAATGAAGTGCAATGCTTTATTTCAATTATGTTAATTATTTTAGGCTCAGATTTGGGATAAAATCTGCATGAGTGACTTAGCAAGTTTTGAAAATGTTACCCCTAGTTTTGATTCAGTTGTTTCAGCATAAATATCTGGTTTGTCATACCCACAGCTAGGGACTTATCCAGTGACCACTGAAGGTAGTGGAATCTTTCCATTGACTTCAAAGAGCTTTGGATCAAGCCCAGAGACTTTTTTCGATCTCTAAAGATGCCTCTTTTAAACAGTGACCTTCATCAGCCTGTGAGGGAACCACACCTGTTGCCTCCAATATGGCTCCAAATGAAATCAGATGGGAAAGTGCTTTGGAGAACTGAAAAGTACTTCAGCAAGAAGTACTGCTCTTAAGCATCAATGACTAGATAATTTGCTGGATTCATATTATACAAACAAAGATAAAATCTTTCGAAGGTAAGCTCTAGAATATGTAAATACACAGTTGCAATGTAAAAATGTGTCCATCAGGATATCACACTCTCTTTAAACAAATAATGAAAGAAAATGCACTGCACAAGAGGGTAGATGATTTACAATCTGTGAGATGCTACATTCCTCCAGTGTGCTATTAATTTCCCATTTAAGTCACGGGGGCTGAGTACGCCCACCACCTCTCAAGAGCAGGCTCCTTGAGAATAAAGAATGAGGAAACTTTGGCTAATTTGAAATCAGGAAAAGATTAACCTGGGAACTCTGAACTATGGGTTCAGCTAGCTAAAGTTACATTGCTGGTAGCATTTTGATCAAAGGGACCAGTCAGCCTGGTGTCTGCTAGGAGGTCACTGACAAGGAAAAGTGAGTGTTACACACAGAGCTGTATTGATTACTTGTAAGACTATTGATACAGAAGGGTACTTTGCAAACTTTGAGGAAGACTTAGAACCTGGTATTTTGTAGTAATGGGGGAAAGCTGGCATATTTTCAGACTGCACGGCCGACTCTTTTAGAGCATGACCTGATACCCAGTCAATCAGTGAGAGTTTTTCCATTGATTTCAATGGGCACTGGATCAGGCCCTTAAAGAAGAGGAAATGTTTTGGGATTATAAAAAATAACCGATGATATGATCTAAAAGACTGAAATATGACGTTCTGTCTCCCATTAGATGATATTGGGGCAAGGGCAGAGGACAGATTTCTATATTTCAATCACCTGAAAAAGTCTAAACATTTACTGCAACTGAAATGCCATACTTAAATTAACCTGGACACAGACAAGATGGGAAACAAGAAGCTATGTAACTGTTTTCTCTATTTACATATAGATAGATTTAAACCTTGTTTTTTACATCCAGTTTTGACTTAACGCCCCATTTTCTTCACTAATGTGAGTTGCAGGAAGTCAAACCTGATGGACACTGTCCCAAGGTTTAGGAGAATGAGTGGAGTGAGTGGAGACAGGCAGCTCCATGGCATAGGCCAGGCTAAAGTATAGCCTACAAAGGCTTAGCCCTGGAGCAGGATTTTTTCCTTTTTATTTCTTTTTCTTTTCTCCTTTTTTAATTAGATCCTTTTATATTTCACAGGTTTTTTAAAAATCACGGAGTTCATTTTATGTGGATTCTTTCTGTCATCTGTTTAATTCAAATATTAATATGGTTTAAAATACATATGGCAAGAGATTGGTCCATAAAAATAATAATTGCTGATATTCTTTTTAAATTATTAATGAATAAAAATCTAATAGTATTTATATCTTTATAAAAATGAGGGCAAAAGTCTGCCTTCAGTTAAACTGCACAACCTCAGTGCAGAACACAGAATTACATGAACATAATCTAGTGCAAAATTTGGCCCTCTGATTTAAAAAGTTACCTACTGAAAATTTACAATAGCTCCCAGAACTGTTTCAATAATGCAAACAGGTTTAATTAATATTTGTAAAAGCATTTTGAAGATTATGAGTGCTATTATATTATTATTATCAGCAACAAGTATATAAATAGACTTGTTAACTTTTATTTGATAGTATGAGCTATTATAACCTATTGTTAAAGGATTGGTATGCACTTAGGCACACAATGAAATATTTATTAAAATATACTAGTTTGCATACAGCAGTCAAAGGAACTTTGCTTTATCACCTTTAGTAAAAATTTCACTAAACTGCTTGTTCTAGATATAGCTTTTTATATCTGAAACAGGATTTTCTTTTCCTTTATAATAAATGCACTTATTTACTTACTTTTTCATTTAAATGAATATCTCTAGTGATAATTTCCAATTACACATCCGATTAAGTGAGCTGTAGCTCACAAAAGCTTATGCTCAAATAAATGTGTCAGTCTCTAAGGTGTCACAAGTACTCCTTTTCTTTTTATATATAAAAAAGCAGCACAACTTGACATTTATGAGAAATAGTGACTTAAGTTCAGATTAACTTGAGGTATCAATATTTGAAAAGTATGGCCTAAACAATTTACCTGTAGCCTATAGGTAGTGATAGGTAAGACATAGGTATAAGTTAAGGCAGTAATGCAATGCACCTAAAAGCCTCAAGGTCTGTAAGACAATAGCTTAGCTCAGCATTTTTCAAATGCGGGCACCGTGGCCACATGCAGCCACCAGTAGAATTTTTTGCAGCCACAACAGCCTCCAAAGCATGGGTGGAAATTGGAGGAGACAACGCAGTGGCCCCTCCCTGCAGCGCCCAGCTGTTGCTCCAGAATAGCTGTTACCAAGGGCAGTGAGATGCACCACCAGGGACTGGTGACCTACACCACGCAACCTCCTCCTCATGAGTGCTTGGCAGCACCTCTGGAAACACATGGGGCTGGTGTACATGGCACTGGAGATAGCTCTTGTCAGTGGAGGTGGCTGCAGCATTCGATTGCTGGGGCGCTCTCCTGCTCCCGCCCGATCTGGGCACGGAGCCTAGGACTCCCCAGGTGGCCAGGGAGTTCCTGACCCACCTTACCTGGGGTGGGGTCTCACTGAAGGGCCATGGGAGGCAGGGACAGAGAGACTGGTCAGTGCTTCCCCTGCCTGGGGCCGCACACACTGTTTACAGATGCTGTAGTTATCGCAGTAGCTCAGTGGCTCAGGGCTGCTTCAGGGCTTGGGCAGCTTCCCAACAGGGTGAGGGGCTCCCGCTCCATGACACCCTCCAAGCACTAGAATAGGAACAAAGTCTGGGTGCACTGAATGGAGAGCTCTACTTACTACTGCCTTCCAACTACATAAATAAATGACAACGATTTGGACATGTATGTGTGCATATTTATTTGGTTTTTTTCCTAAAGTTAATTAAGTATTTTAGGAAAAATTGTCAGAGCAGCCACCAGCAAGAGTTGGTGGCCACACACTGAGACCACCAAAAAATGTATTGTGAGAACCCCTGGCTTAGCTAAACTAATCAAGGCCTAAGGCCTCATAAGATAACCAGGAGTAACCCTAGATCATAAGATATCACAAGACAGAATGCTTTAATAAATGAGTATGACTCAACTTCTGACAGGTAACCACAAGATGTCAGTTAATACCAGCTTTAGATATTTTAAGTTAGGAACATCAGAAGATATCCAACCACAAGAATGCCATAGACACTAATTGACGAATATGCTAATAAACTTGAGGTAAAAGGCCTAGTAACTTATGGGAGAAGAGCACCCCAACTTTAGTAGGGTGAGGAAATACAGACAAGGAAAGGGGCTGAGACCCCTACTGAATATGCGCTAGGCACAGTAAAAGTGCATTTCGGCCAATATGCCTTGGAAGAGGCCAGGACAATGACTGCTAGTAAGGATGACAATGAAGATGATGACTAACCTTTTGGGTTGTTCTGCAAGAAATAGTGTAAGTATATGGATGCTCAGACACTCGTTTTATATTATTTCTACCCTCTTTGCAGAGTTGAAGTGTTTGTGATATTGCTAACCATGCTAAAAAAATATTACCAAGACAGAAGGCCTTTCCTAAGTATGAGCATCTCTGCTGTGCACACCAGGGTTCTCATCATTGTGATAACTCTAATACTTCTGGGTCTCATCAGGAGCCAGGACCCTCGTAACCCACAGAATGTTATTGGGATTTCTAATTGATCAATATAATGAATACACAATCAGTAGATAAGGCAACATACCTAAGGTCACCCAGTAAGGCAAATGGCAGAGCCAAGAATAGAATCCAGTTCTCCTTAAGTCCCAGTCCTGTGCCTATCTATTGGACTAGGCTGCTTCAGCATCGAGATCTGAGCTAACCCCTTTCAAGTGCTGCTCTGCTACTCTGTAAGTCATATCTCCCTCTGACTTGAAAAGCAACAGTTCAGTTCTTCAAAGCACCTGCCTTCTGGACTTGAAATTACAGGACCCAGTTCTGAATTTGATTCCTGTGGTGAATAAGCCCCTTTTCATTTTAAATAGATACCAGAGTACACTTCAACTCCAAGCACAGCTGGAAATATTTTAGTAATCAAGGGGGTTTTCTCCAGTTCTCCACTACACTAACCACCCACAGGACATTCACACCACAGGCTATAACTTCTGAAGCTGTCAAACTGACAAGAATGAAACTGCCAAAGATTTGACTTATCATGGAACCGAGAAAGTGACTTTATAGTTAAGACTATAACGAGTTTTCCATTATAAAACTAATTTTGACCTTCACTTCTACCTTCCTCAGAAAGACTCCTTTCTGTCTGAAATTTATTACATGTGGCCTCCTGCCAGAAAACTTTATAGGAAACTCTTTGAAAAATGAGCTCTTGGAAAGGTCTATCATCTTTTAAAAATGTTGTATCTCAAATATAGGTTGGCCTAGTAACATTAAATTTATTCATAGTATCATAAAAGTTAGAGATTAAAAAAGCCTATTAGATCACCCAGTCCATCTTCCAGACAATGAAATAGTATGACTTTCAGTATTTTCTGGAAGTCTGGTTATTTCATTCTAGAGTTTGTATTGATCAACCAAGATACTCAAAACTAGATCAGATGCAGGACCTACAGCCCTCTCTGTGTGCAACTATGCAGACATTTAGCAAATATTTTTAAAGATTTCCAGCAGCTAATGGAATCCTCAAAGGCTGATGTGTCTGAGAACTCCATTAGCTCTTGACATACTCTACAATTTTTGCAAAAGACTTGCACAGTCTGACTATGAGGGGGTTAGAGGTCTTGTAGGAGCTAGTGTAATCCTTGAGGAAGATTTTTCAAAGGCACAAATGAGAGTTAGGTACCCATTTCTTACTGATTGTCAATGGGAGTTGGTCACCTAACTTCCCTTGGTCCCTTTGAAAATGTCTCCTCTTTGTACATTGGCTGATTCAGGGAATGGATGCAGTCTCTGATGAATCTGACTCCTCACAGAAGCTCTGTTCCCTCTGCTGCCACAGAGAACCACCCTCCATCAGGACCATGGTCAGCTGCACAAGCAATGCTGGGTATGTCTACACTGCAGCTGGAAGCATGCCTCCTAGCCTAGGTAGACAGATACATGCCTGCTCTACTTAAGCTAGCACACTAAACATAGCAGTGTAAACATTGCTGCTCAGGTGATGGCACAGGCTAGACACTCAAGTATGGACCCAGGGGGGTCATGCGGGATTGTACTCAGATGCCTAGCCCATGTCGCTGCCCACGTCACAACGTCCATGCTGCTAGTTTTAGTGTGCTAACTCCAGCGGAGATAGTGTTTGTCTGTCTAGCCAGGATGGGAGGCACACTCCCAGCTGCAGTGTAGACATACCCAGCATTGCTTGTGCAGCTGACCATGATTCTGATGGAGAGTTCTATCATTCTCCTCTGACATACCCATTGTGGCCATTTTGGAGGCCTAAGGTCCCTTGGGTGGGCTACATTTGGTTTTTTAGGAGGTTGTTTGGTGCACTGCTCCTGCTTCACTTTGGGAGCAAGGTGACCCTTATCTCTTTACATCATAGATTTCCCTTTTACCAGCTGCTGGTCAGGAAGGGAGTTCAAGAGTCTTTTCTGGCCTCAGATCTGTCTCCCAAGTATAGAGCCATCTTTTCTGACACAAAAATACACCTCTTTACACCCCCTCAAACACTTCACTTTAGGAGCAAAGAGAAACAATTGAGGCACTTTTTACTTTTGGGCTCTTTTGGCATTTATTCTGCCATAGCAAGGGTGACTCGCCTGCAAAAGGGGAAAATTTTTGCAATGAGGTTTTGTAGATCATATTAACATATCACGTTTTAGCACAGGGGTGGGCAAACTTTTTGGCCTGAACGCCACATCGGGTTTCCGAAATTGTATGGAGGGCCAGTTAGAGGTGGCTGTGCCTCCCCAAACAGCCAAGTTTGGCCCAGCCCCCACCCCCTATCTAATCCCCCCTGCTTCTCGTCCCCTGACGGCCCTCTCGGGACTCCTGCCCCATCCAACCCCCCCGTTCCCTGTCCCCTGATGGCCCCCCCAGAACCCATGCCCCATCCACCCCTCCCTGTCCCCTGACCACCTCCAGATCCCCCACCCCTGACTGCCCCCGCCACCCCATCCAACCCCTCCTCTCCTTCCTGACTGCCCCCCCAGGATCCCTGACCCCATTCAACCCCCCTGTTCCCCGCCCTCTGACAGCCCCGACCCCTACCCACACCCCCACTCCTCTGCCCTCTATCCAACCCCCCTGCTCCCTGTCCCCTTACCGAGCTGCCTGGAGCACCGGTGGCTGGCAGCCATGCTGCCTGGCTGGAGACATCCACACCACCACGCAGCACAGAGCACCAGGTCAGGCTGCGGCTCTGCAGCCCCACCACCCAGAGTATTACGCCAACAGTGCAGTCAGCTGAGGCTGCAGGGGAGTGGGAACAGAAGGGGAGTGGCAGGGAGCTAGCCTCTCAGGCCAGGAGCTCAGGGGCCGGACAGTACGGGCCCGTGGGCCAGATGTGGCTGCGGGCCGTAGTTTGCCCATCTCTGTTTTAACATATACAATTTAAATAGTTTGGGTTCATTTTCAGTCCTTGAAGCTCTGGAGACAAAAAGAACTGGAGTAGCTTAGCTTCAGTGGGAGAAGCTACGCCTGCATCCAAAGCCAACAAGTTTGTCTCTGCCTCCAAAAGCTGTGGGGTAGACTAAAGACCCACAGTCAGAATTTGCCTAAGAAACATAATTTAAAACACTACTATTGGCAGGAGGTACATGTTTGAATGCTGTGCACAACTTATTTTGTGATGAGCAAATCAATAACGTGGCAGAGGATGCAAGTAGTGTTTTCCTTTATAAATCTGGACCATGACCACATAAGATTTGGATAACTCATCAGCAATTTTTTTTCAGCCATCATGATCAACTTCGTACAACAAGTATGGAGAACTGTATGTAATCAAACAAGCTTTAAAACTTCAACTCCTAAACATCTACAGTACTCCAGTTTTCTGAGAGAGACTAAAATGTACACTTTCAACTAATGCTAGTGGCTTGTGGGATGTTTTCCAAAGCTGGCTCGTTAGCAGCATAGCCACATGCTTTTGACACCTAGATGAATTTGTCCCAGCCAATCTATTCTAATTTGGATTATTTAATTAAAGTCTGAGGTGTCAGGTTCAACCTCACTCTCCTAGGTGTTTTAGGATATCAGAAGGATATGGGAGTTTTGTCTAAGAGTTTGACCAAGACATGTTGGTAGATCCCATAATGCTGTCTTTACCAAGCCACTAGCCAATAATATACACATTTGCCCTTGTTCGAACTTTTTTGCCTTGTTTTCAATCCAATTGACATCATTCAACCCAAATCTCTTTCTGACAGTCCTTCTCTACACAGGACTGGCATTTAAAATGTCAACAGACCCAACTTTGTCGTTAAAGTCAAATTATACATATTTAATTATTTACATCTCTTCTTTTAAGCCTTATGACCCCTTAGTTATTTATGTTGCTCTTTGAATACCTTCCAATTTGTTGACAGATATTTGGTACTGAGTTGCTGAGAACAAAATGAGTGGCTTGACAAAGTCAGGCTGGACATTTGCAAGAGAGTGGTGGAAGGCAGGTATGTTAGCCCTAGAATGATAAAGGCCCTTTTTCTTATAATCTGATAAGGGGTTACCTCAGACCTGAGACCTTTAAAAACTCTTCCTGTGGTGAGAGAGGAGGAGGAGGAGAGACAAGCTGCTGCAAGGCTAGGGGCAACAGGGAGAGAAGCTTCTCCAGGTTGAGAGGCTGTTCTCCTCCCTACAGGGGCAGAGCTGGCTCCAGGCACCAGCTTTCCAAGCAGGTGCTTGGGGCGGCATTTAGAATGGGACAGCAGTCTGTGTCCCGTGGCAGCAATTCGGCGGCAGCTCCGCTGCTCTTCCAGCCGCGGCAGCTTTTGGGCGGCAGCTCTGCCGCTGTTGCGGTGGCAGCAATTCAGCAGTGACTGCTTGGGACGGCAAAATTGGTAGAACCCCCCCGGTACAGGGGAAACAACCAAATATGAGTGCCTGTTTAGGGGAAGGACTGACATCCCAGGGCCAATAAAAGGAAAACACCCCAATGCCCCTAATGAGGGAGGCAGCAGAAAAAGGTATCCCCCTTTATTTTGTGTTTGTTAATTTATCTCTTTTGTTTGGTGGAGGAGCACTCCTTGGGCCTGCCCCAAGGCCTACCTTGAAAATATTGATAAATAAACACAGAGTGGGAAGACAAACTATATCCAGAGCGGGGCTGATTTACTCCAGGCCCCGCCACTGCCAGAGGGGGAAGTGCTAAGCCCACTGAGACAGAGGAGGTGCCTGGGCACAGTGGGTCAAATTCTGACCCGTTACATCTGTGCAATCCAACTGATTTTGATTTCACATTCTAGATACTATCTCATCTATCCTGTGTTAGAGAGTCCTTATTAACTCTATGACTTGATGCCTCTGGCAGAGCAGCCCAAAATTCCATTGCCCACTTTTCATCACTATACTGCATTATACGATCATATCTAACTGAGCTTATGGCATCACTGCTTTCCAAGTGGTTCCCTCCCCCTAAATATCTATGTTCAGATTTGTTGTTCTCATTGTATCATAGTTTGTATTTCCAAGCTGATTCTCATGTTGTTATTTCCAGGCTCTTTAGACCTCTTTGTGTTATTTCTCTGTCTTTACGAGTGTTCACACAATGTTTGAATTAGGTATAACCTGAACTGAACTAACTGTTGTTTTATCTTACCATGTAGCATTCACTGCTGATGGCATTAAATAAAACCACATTTAACACCAATATCTTCAGCAGTCCATACCTCTATATCCCCATATTACGTGTCATTTCCTTTTGTTATCTAGTTTTCACTAGATGCAGTCTATAATGCATTCACATGATACACTTAAATTCTGTTTATGAAAACAAAACGTAATTGAACTTATGCATGCAGAAAGAAAAGGATCACCCTTCATACCATGCTCATATGGTGAGAAAGTTCCAGCATCTATGTTAATATAAGGATCAATTTTGATTGCAGTGACTCTTAGACCACATGATTTCAGTATGGTGCCAATGCTGCTTGCAATGATTCCTTTGCCAATGCCTGAGATGACACCACCAGTTACCAGGATGTACTTCATTGGAAAATGAGTAGCAGCACACAGGTCTCGAGCTGGAAATCTAACAGTGACAAAAAGCACATTTGGTAAACACACATTTATACTTAGAAATCACACTAAATCAGCATGCAGAAAAGGAAACCCAAAATGAGCTTCAGAAACCAAAATATCAAAATTAAATATAGTCACAATTTTGGACTTTAAATCTTTTTAAATTTAAAGTTTTTTAATCACTTCATACATATTCTGCTAACTTTAGTTCAAGGATTTTTCATTCCAACTACATTAACCACAATAAATTTTATCTTTAGAGGAAGAGACTGAACCTTTGAAGGACTGTCCAAACCAAAGGATCCTGTCGCCCTGTTTTCCAGCTGTTTTTCATTCCCCCTTCTGCCCCCAGAGCCTATCATGTAGCCACTATTCTTCCAGAGGGCTTGCTGTCCCTGCTAAGCCAGGAAGCAACAGACTGAAAAAGGGAAATGGAACCAGATCTTCCACAGAACAATGCATGGCACCACTGATCACCAGCCCAGAACCTTTTTCTTACATGTTTACCCCATTAATAGATACTGCATGAGAGAAAACAGAAAATCAATAATTTGAAGACTTCCATTCTGCTGCAAAGTAAAAAGACAGTGTGGTGATGGAAAAGCAAAGTCTCAGATTTAAAATGACATCATAAATATAATGATAATGTAATGCTGGGCAACTGTACTTGCATCAGGGGGTTGCTTCAGTTTCCTGGAAGTTGATTCTATCCCAAGACTAGCCAAAGGATAGAAACACTGGCCCGTGGGACTGTTGAACTGTGGGGCACCTGGGGCCAAAGCTGCGCCCACAATGCGAAATGATGTATTGTGGACTCATGTCTCAGTTAGACTTTGGGCTCGACCCAACCCCCTTGCTGGTTCTTTGGGTGTGGGTCCTGAGGGCTTACTGGCCCAAGTCAGATAGGTTTGTGTATAGATAGATGGGGGAGTTGGGCTCAAGCCTGAGTCCAGACTTTCACTGTAGTATAGACATACCCTTAGTGTCCTGACACCCATTTGTCTAGGTTGGCATTCTGCCACAACCTCGAGACATAGCATAGTCTAGTGGGTTGTGCATTGGGCTCAGAGCCAGGAACTTGAGCTCTAAGCCTGACTGACTCTGACACTAATGGCCTTCAACAAGTCATACAGGGCATGTCTACGCTGCAAAAAATAGCCCCATGGTAGCAGATCTCAGAGTCCGGGACAACTGACTTGGGCTCACAGGGCTCTTGCTATGGGGCTATAAATAGCAGTGTAAATGTTCCTGCTCAGGCTGGAGCCCAGGCTTTGAAACCCAGCACGCAGGGTGGGTCTCAGAGCCCAGGCTCCAGCCTGAGTGGAAACATCTACACTTCTATTTTTAGCCCCGTGAGCTCAAGTCAATTGACCCAAGCTCTGAAACTCAATTACACAGTTTTTTTCTGCAGTATAGATATACCCTTAACCTGAACATGTCTCAGTTTCCCCATGAGTAAAACTGGGGATAACACAAACATTTCTCTCTCAAAAGACATTGAAAGAATTAATTTATATTTATACCATACTTTGAAAATTAATGTGCCAGGTAAATGCTTATTATGATGATCATATCTTGATTAGTAGAAGAGGTAGACTACCACATTTAAGAGTTTTCTACAGTTTATTTTAGTACTAGTGAATCATCATGAGACTAGTGTATCATCATGCATACACAATAATTGAGATTCATAAACAATACATATCTAAAGCCTGGTCTTCACTAAAAAGTTAGATTGACCCAGCTACGTCACTCAGGGGTGTGAAAAATCCACACTCCTGAGAGATGTAGTTAAGCTGACCTAACCCCCGGTGTAGACAGCACTTGGTCGAAGTAAAAATTCTTCCACTGACCTATCTACTGCCTCTAGGGGAGGTGAATTAACTACTGTGATGGGAGAGCCCCTCCGGCAACTGTAGTGAATGTCTTACACTGAAGTCTTTAGCTGTGCTGCTGTAGCATTTTAAGTGTAGACATAACCTAATTCCTATTTAACTTACCTCTTGAAAAGTAGGCTTTTTGATTAGTAGCTTTCCTAGCTACATTTTCAGAGAACTCCCTACCACCATCAACTAACAAATTCAAAAAAGAAGACCTCTGTGGGGTTCAAAAGCTTGTCTCTGTCACCAACAGAGGTTGGTCCAATAAAAGATATTACCTGACCAACCCTGTCCCTCTCTTATCCTGGGACTGATAGGGCTAAAATTACCGTACACTGAATACTGTATGACAGTAAAGTTTAGACATAAACAAACAAGCTAAATATGAGTGAACAGTGTAACACTGTTGCAAAAAAAGCAATCATCATTCTGGGATGTATTAGCAGGAGTGTTGTAAGGCAAGACACAAGAAGTAATTCTTCCGCTCTACTCCACTCTGATTAGGCCTCAACTGGAGTACTGTGTCCAGTTCCGGGCACCACATTTCAGGAAAGATGTGGACAAACTGGAGAAAGTCCAGAGAAGAGCAACAAAAATGATTAATGATCTAGAAAACATGACCTATGAGGGAAGATTGAAAAAATTGGGTTTGTTTAGTCTGGAGAAGAGAAGACTGAGAGGGAACATGATAACATTTTTCAAGTACATAAAAAGTTGTTATAAGGAGGAGGGAGAAAAACTGTTTTCCTCAACCCCTCAGGATAGGACAAGAAGCAATGGGCTTAAATTGCAGAAAGGGCAGTTTAGGTTGGACATGAGGAAAAACTTCCTGTCAGTGTAGTGAAGCACTGGAATAAATTGCCTAAGGAAGTTGCAGAATCTCCATCATTGGAGATTTTTAAGAGAAGGTTAGACAAACACCTGTCAAGGATGATCTAGATAATATTTAGTCCTGCCGTGAGTGCACGGGACTGGACTAGATGACCCTCAAGTTCCCTTCCAGTCCTACAATTCTATGATTCTATGAAACAAAAGCAAAGAAACGCTATATAGCACAATTAAGCCATCTTGCATGGCTTAGCTTTTTATTTCTTTGACTTAACTTAGACCATTACAGCTCTTTATATCAATACAGGTTGTGTTAAACTTTAGTACTTTCGTGAAGTTAAAGTGCTATATAAGTGCTAAGATTTTTTGGTTTTGTTATCATAACAATCATAGAATATCAGGGTTGGAAGGGACCTTAGGAGGTCATCTAGTCTAACCCCCTGCTCAAAGCAGGACCAAGCCCCAATTTTTGCCCCAGATCCCTAAATGGCACCCTCAAGGATTGAACTCACAACCCTGGGTTTAGCAGGCCAATGCTCAAACCACTGAGTTATCCCTCCCCCAAATAAACAGTACTGACATTTATCTGAAACCGAAATGAAATTATTTTCATTTTTTTTTCTTTATTTGAATTTAGATGTGACCAGCAAAAATCTTTAGGCACATGATTGGTACTTAAATTAACATATTACACTTTAAATCTATTGTATCAAATTACATTTACTAAGGGTTATTTTTGTTTTTAATGCAATGCTATTTTGTTTTATATAAGAATCCTAGAATTCCATGAGTGATAGGTGCCCAATAAAATAATTTATATTTTCTCTCAAGTACACAGCTTGGTCAACCCTCTGCCTAGAAATCAGTATGCATACAGTAATCTTCTTATTTGTTAATACTGTGCAAACAACACACACTTAGGATCACAGAGAAATTGCATTAAACTGAAGAAAAGCACAAACACAAAAAACATTGACCAACAGAGCCCTTTGATTTGAATGACAGTGTGACTATAGATTCAATATACAAACTTTGTGTTGCTAAGGAAAAGTCAATTCAAAGTTAAGTCTTAAAGGACAGTCAGCTTAAAAACTATGGGCCACACTCTCTGCTATGTTGGTTATTCCCCTATAAGGACAAAGAAACTTTTTGGGACTGAACTCAGAATCTCCTCAACCTTCTTCCATCTAGCAGGGACACATGCCCCTACAGACGGGCTGACGGCCCAAACTCAAAAACCTGTGAATGTATGCATTTGCCAGAGGGATCGACGCATAAAGGCTCTCTGTCTCTGCACTGCTTCCAGGACCTCCCTGCTTTCTCCCAAGAGTTCTCCAACTTCATCTCTAATTTATATGATTTTATAATTTACAATTTTGAAGTATCTTTGTTTTAAGTTTAAAAAAATAAACATTATTTTCAGTGCATTTTCTTTACTTCTCCTGTCTAAGAATCAAAGATCTGGTTTGATTACTCTGCCCAGTACTTCACAGGAGACTTGACACAGGAAGTGCAACAAGGCTAATGTACTGGACAAGACGCAAATGAATGGATTCATCCTTTTATTAAGATGTCACAGATGTGTTAACACAAGGGTAGCCAACCTGTGGCTCCGGAGTCACATGAGGCTCTTCAGAAGTTAATATGCGGCTCCTTGTATAGGCACCAAGTCCGGGGCTGGAGCTACAGGCGCCAACTTTCCAATGTGCCGGAGGGTGCTCACTGCTCAACTCCTGGCTCTGCCACAGGCCCTACCCCCACTCCACCCCTTCCCGCCCCCCTCCCCTGAGCCTGTCCTCACTCCTCGCTCCTCCCCCCTCTCCCCCAGAGCCTCCTGCACGCCACGAAACAGCTGATCAGCGGGGCTGCTGGTGGGTGGGAGGCGCTGGGAGGGGGGGTGAGGGCGGGAGGGGGGCTGCTGACATATTACTGTGGCTCTTTGGCAATGTCCATTGGTAAATTCTAGCTCCTTCTCAGGCTCAGGTTGGCCACCCCTGAGTTAACAAGTACCAGACTGTCATTCAGAACACATGCTACACAGTAGGTAGATGTGTCGTGTTCAGAAACCTCCTATCTTCTAAGCTATAAAAATAATACAGAGTTCGAGGACATATTACAGTGAAAAGATGAAGACTACTGTATTTGTAATATTTCCAAATTAAACACCAAATAAGTCCAAAGACATTAGAATATAAGATAGTGATCAAAAATATACAAGAAACTAAAATATCTTCAGAACTCTACCTTCTTCCATGTACAGCTGTAAGCAGTGCAGACCTTCCCAACATTATACAATGTCACAAATAGGCCTGCAAAATAGACAACAGGCACTAGTATTTATCCAAGTCCAAGGCACAAGCTGTTTAAAAAACAGTGAGATGCATTTTCAGATGGTTCCCAGGAAAGACAGAGGTATAAAGCGCTCGTTAACACAAGTCAAAGTTTTGCATCTAATTATTAATGCTCTTAAAACTTTGGGAGGGAGTGTGTGTTCACAAGATAAAGCTATACAGTCAGCAAGCATTCAGCAGATTAAGGAAATACTGCCCACTCTGATCAGAGAGAGCCTAACAACAAATAGTGCTTTAAAAAAAATCTAGTAATTAGAACCCGGTTTAAAATATTACCAGATACCTACTAGCCAGGGGTGGATACAAAAAATGAAATGAGGAGTCCAGCAGCAAAGTTTACCATCCTGTAGTAGAACTACCCTGACTACTCTGACTACTAACTCCAACCCTAATCCCCAGCTTCACTGCTGGAAAGAACCAGGGTGGCGGGAGCTCATCCTGCTGGATGTTCCATAGATCTGTTAGTTGTGGATGTCTGATAAATTCAAAACCCTCTCCCAGCTTCCTCCTCTGGCTGAAGATATTTTAGCTTCTGGCTGAGGAATGGGAAGAAGAGCCGGTTGTCACTTTATCGCTCTGAACCCAGACTCACATGTGGGGCAAAAAAAGAAGTTCCCACAGGATCAATGCAGGCCTGGTAATGATTTGGTACAGAGCAAACACTAGTGGGGGAAAAAAAGAGTTCCTTTACATTCACATTTGTTTTAAGCAAAAATGTTAACTACAGAAGCCAAGAAGGACAAAAGACAAATACAGAAATGAAAAATTTAGAAGAGTGGAGTACATGAAAATATACAACCCAAGCGAACTCAGAAAGTATTAAAAGCAAACTTCTACTCTTATTGCTCTACATGGTTCTTGTATCAGTTCTGTTTTTCTGAGATAATTCCACACAAAAACTGGCCTGAAAGACACACAAGAAACCAAATCTAATGCTTGTACCAGTAACAGTTCTGCTGATAGGCAGAACTATTTATTGGAACTCTGGTGAAAATACTTACAAAAGGTGTATAAAACTGGTATGAACCATAGAAGGGAAGTCATTATGTGATTGTCATTCTCTGGTTCTTAACAATTTGCATTTTTTTAAATCTCCTTTTTAGTGGCTTAGAGGCAATCTCACTTGCGGTGTACACAACTGCAGTACTGCATACAAAAGAAACAGTGTAAAACTTTAAAATAGTACTAATAACAAAGCTCTAAGTCTGCAATGTGGTGCACAAAAACTGACCTCTACTTCCATTCAGAGCCCCGCTGACATCAATAGTATTCTTCACTGCTTCAGGGTCTATCAAAATAGAGTAAATTGCAAGACTGGGGCTTAAATTTCAAAATTTTCACTCATTTGAAAAATAAGTGAAATCAATTTTACTTTATACATTAATTTTTAGACAGACAGACAGACTTCAAATAAATCTTCTCTTTTCAGGTCACCTTCTCTTTGTCCTTCTACTTCTGCCTAGGTTCCCCCCTTAGCCAAAACATACATCATTCCACAGATGCTGATCACCACAAGGGGAACAGGTTTATTGCTAAGCAATGTCCCTCCTAATGTTTCAGAGATGGCCAACCAACAAAGTGCAACAAGGTAAATAAATAAATATCAATAATAATAATAATAATACCTGGCTGTTATGTAGACCACAAAAACTGCCTCATATGTGGCAATTTTAAATTGCACAAAATATTTTAAAAGAATGTTACATATTTTAACCTATGTGAATATATACATATAGATAATATTTTATAACATTATGAATACTTTAAATATAGTACACACAGTGGGATGTATACCTGATCACAAAGTTTATGCACAAGCCCAGAAAAGCCACTCCATCAGATAAAATGTCATTATTGTAGCAATATTAAAACAAGGGCTTGAAAAAATTAACTGACGCCTACTGCCAGAGGCTGACACAAAATTCTCCCTCAACCAGTGAGCTGCAGGGAAAACATCCTGGCCAGTAAAGCCACTCTTATAACTGAGAAGAGGAAGGGTGCTAGGATTCCTGCCAGCAAATCTGGGGACTCCGTTATTCATAATGTTGGGGACACTGGGGCATGGCCACTAGGTAACTCAAGGGAATGGAAGACCACAAGTGTCAATGAAGCCCCCTCACACTAGGCCCAGGTGTCCTTGGCCCCCCCGCCTGGAGGCACACACAGCAGTTATGCTGAGAATCTGCAACAATATGTTGCAGAGTCAAACTGCCTAAAACTAAGCAAGGCCACGCAGGGCAAATATAAAAAAACAATGCTAAATAAAGCAGCTTTATGTATAGTTTAATAAATAATACAAAAAAAAAACAAAAAACTAGCTGGAAACTGGATTGGCTGGCTATATGGATACTTGGGGCAGCTTGCTATTAAATAAGTATGCTAAAAAAAAAAAATGTATAAAAGCCTGTGTAACTTCCTGCTCTGTGTACAGAATACGAAATTCAAATCTCCCTGTACCTATTTAAAGCTTCAAATAAACTTTTCTGCTTCTCCACCCCATTGTAATTATTGGGTGTAGCACACCGGGTAACGAACCACTCAAGCTGTTGTTCAGCCTCTCGGCACTGGGTGCCGGCAACAATAATATAGTAGTACCTCAGAGTTACGAACATCTCAGGAACGGAGGTTGTTTGTAACTCTGAAATGTTTGTAACACTGAACAAAACGTTATGCTTGTTCTTTCAAAAGTTTACAAATGAACAATGACTTAATACAGCTTTGAAACTTTATTATGCAGAAGAAATATTCTGTTTTTAACCATCTTAATTTAAATGAAACAAGAACAGTTTATTTACCTTGTCAAATCTTTTATTTAACCTTTCTCTCTCTCTTTTTTTTTTCAGTAGACTTGTAGAACTTATAAGTTTTCCATACAGGAAAGGGAAAATAATCCATGTTATTAATAACTAACTTTTCTATGCTACTTTGAGGGGGGTTATTTTATTTATTTTTAAGATTTTTGGACCCATCCACTTGTGTTTTGGACTTCTCCTCAACTGCTGTTGTCAACAGCATTTTGTGTCCAACCAAGCAATTTTCATCACTCTTTCTGGGAAAAAAAAATACTGAATTGGAAATGTTAAACAGACACTTATGCACGTCAATAACAATACACAAATGAGTAGTCCTATTTAATTCAACAGGACTACTCACTTTCCTGAGTATTTACAGGGTCACGTTTATTCCCCCCCTCCCCCCGTTCCTCAGACGTTCTTGTCAACTGCTGAAAATGGCCCACCTTGATTATCACTACAAAAGGTTTTCTCCCCACTCCCCCCCCCCGTATTAGCTCATCTTAAGTGATCACTCTCCTTACAGTGTGTATGATAACACCCATTGTTTCATGTTCTCTGTGTATATAAATCTCCCCACTGTATTTTCCACTGAATGCATCCGATGAAGTGAACTGTAGCTCACGAAAGCTTATGCTCAAATAAATTGGTTAGTCTCTAAGGTGCCACAAGTACTCCTTTTCTGTTTTCTCCTTTGACTCGCATGGTTGACATGGCTAAGCAGTGCTCTGTGGACAGCAGTCTTTTACTTTCACTTTTAAAAGCCAAATTAGAAGCATTTAGTAGGTCATGGTTTCAGTTGTATAAATGAAAGTATTATTTCCAAAGATCCCATGACTTGTAGATGAGCAGAGAAAGAATCTGGCAAAGTTAGCTAGGAAAGGGAAACAAAACAAAAAACACTAAGGGTATTAGGTTGCCATATGCTCTTAATGAGCAGACTCATGCAAATACACGTGAATAACTTTACTCACACGATTAATTGCTTCTACTAACACAAGTTATTTTCATGGTTAAGTGTTTGCAGGATTGTACCTCAAACCTGTAGCATTGTATTGAAAATTAATTAGCATAACTGGTGAATTTTTTATTTACTTTTCACATTTCTGTTGGTATTGTTATTGAGTTGAGAACTGCAAATAGCCCTCAGCAGAATGGCTCATATACTAGATAAGTCATGTCCATGACTAGAAAGTTATTTGGCACTAAGATTTGATCTGTGACCTGAGTGTCAGGAGGATCTCTGCACTGGAAAGCTACAAGCCTCCCATTTTTGTTGATAAATTTGCTAAAACTAATCTATGAGGATGAAGTCCATTAATAGAAATAATTTCTACAATTATTGGAATATATCCAATCATTAGACAGGAAGAGGCTCTAGTGTATGACTTAAAGATGTCTAAATATGAAAAAACTATTAGGAAGAGTGCAAGGAGGAATAAAGGCCCCACCTACTCTAGGAAAATACATGTTGCTAACAGCAACACCTTGCCTGGCTTCAATTAGTGCTGAAAAGAGTTCACCTGCTCATGTAGATGGACTCAAATCCTTTTCAACCCTATCAGAGATAGGGAAACATTATCTCTATCATGTTTTTAATCATGATGGTGAATCAGCTTCCTCCTCCATCCACACTACCAGTTAAACTGCTTCAGCAATGGGTTATTTTCCTAGTGTCCTAACATGCACGGGGGGGCGGGGGGGGGGAAGGACTAGGAAATGGTGAAGTGTTTGCCCCGGGCTGTCACCCTGTCTCAGGCAGAGCTGGTGTGGCTCCTACGTGTTTACAGAAGAGGGGGGCAGTGACTGGCACGGCTCAGTGTACGGCCCTGACTACCCACGTGTGCAAGCAACACGGTGGTGCTGCTTGGTTGGAGGGGGCAGGAGCTAAACCCCCCTTCCTGTAACCCCAGAGTACTCCGGGGCTTCAGCCCGCCCAGGGCCACCTAGTGGGGGAGCCCGAGCGCGGTTATGGGCCCGCACGGCCCTGCCAGCGGGGGGAAAGGAGCCCAAACCCGCCGCTGCTGCTGCTGCTGCTCTGTCACCGGGGCGCCTGAAGCAGCGCCGCCCCCCGGGGGAACTTGCCCGGCCCGGGGAGAGAGGGGAGCCGGGGCCGCGGCCGGTCCCCCTTGCCCAAGGCCGGCGGGCGCGCGGGCCGGCAGAGGCCAGGCAGGCGGCAGTTACCTGGGCGCGCGCCGCGTCGTAGCGGCGGAGGCGGTTGCAGGTTCCTCCTCCCTGGGCCCAGGTGCCGAAGGCGGGAGGCAGAGAGGGAGTCTCCGGGCGGCCGCCAGGGGGAGCCCGCGCTGCAGCCAGCGCCGAGCCCGGCCCCAACTGGCCCGTAGGTGGGAGGGGGGCTCTCGAGGGGAGGAGAAGGGACCCGGGCAGGCAGTCAGAGAGGCCTGAGGTCCCTGGGTGAATGCCCCGTGCAAACCGTGCCCTCCATACAAACTTACCCGCTCTGCCCCGCGGGCACTTTTGCTCAGGCATTTTTACAATGATCTGCCTGCCCCAGCCTGGGGCACTTTTTGGCATGCACATGCATTTATCTCATCTCCCTATAAAGCCATGGAGCACTTTTTTGAATGAGCATTTTCTGTGATGAGGCCACTAGCTATATTTTTTTAAATATTGACCTTGAAAATCTCCCCTGGGTGTAGCTTGGAATAGCCCACTGTTTTCACCATACTACTGCTACTGCTTTCAAGTCTCCACAATATTTAAATTACTAATAGATCTTATTTTTTCTTGATTTTTCCAATCCCTTGGGAATTTCTGCTGAAGAATGTGAGTGATGCAGACAATGGATGTAAATGATGTTCGCACACAAAGTCCATCTCTCTGCATCGGGATTAAGGTCCTGATCATGCAGTTAAATTCACATAGTTGAACCCTTGCATCTGTGCAGAGTCCAGTTGACTTAATTGATTGGAATCTCACTCTGAAAAGGAATGAAATTTAAATATAAGGGTGAAAAGCGATTAAGAAGAAGAGTTATTAGAGACATGGTGCAACTGTTCCTGGTTTGAGGGACTGGAAAATAGGAAATAAAATGTTTGGTCAAATGCTACCCTCACATATTCTGGTGCAAGCTATTGACTCAAGATTTATAAGTAACTTCAGAATTATGGAGACTTTCAACAGCAACATGGAGATCAGATAAGAAGATGCTTTATTTCACTACTGAAAGGGAAAGCAAACTTTTTCTAAAGGTCATCTTTCAGGGCTGATTTTGCAGCCACTGTGAACACAGAACTCATATTGATTTAAATGGGCGCTCCAAACACAATGCAGAATTGAGCTTTAAAAGACAGAGCATGATAAATTTCTCTCCAGCTTTGTTGATTGTTCAGTAGTTTTATTTTGTTAATGTAATTTTATATATAATGGAGATGCTTTTGATTTATTTTAAACATTCTCCTGCATCATTCACTGATCTGATTCTCAAAAAGAAAAGGAGTACTTGTGGCACCTTAGAGACTAACCAATTTATTTGAGCATAAGCTTTCGTGAACTACAGCTCACTTCATCGGATGCATACTGTGGAAACTGCAGAAGACATTATATACACATCTGATTCTGTGAGTGTCTCTTTCCTTTATGCTTACCTCTCAATTCTCAAAAGGGTCTCATCCTATTTCACCTTTCCTAACTTCACTTGACCACTACCTAGAGACACCATCATCATGGCAAATCCTAAAGGGATCTGGCCTTCTTGCAGATTCAGGGCCACCTGGATCATCTCTGGCTATGTGCTTAAGGTGGTTTGGCTGTATATTCCATCACCAGCAATCTTATTGCACCACTGAAGCTTTTGGCACCCACATGATCACCAGTTGTGTAGCTGCACTCCTTGATACATACACTTTGGAATTTTTTGGTCTTCCATTATAATATGTCCATATGGAGAAAGCCACCAAAACTTGGAAGACATTATCTTAAAAAAGCATTGTCGGGTTTAACACTTGTTTTTACAGAGCCATAGCGCTTTATGGACAAACACAAATGACAGCACCCTGCCCAAAGCAGCATGCAATGTATGGTCCCGATTATCCACATGCTGAATTTTACACACGTGGGAAGTCCTATATGACTTCATGTGACTATTCATTAGTATGTAAAATTAAGTACATGCATGCATGATCAGGGCCTAAGTTTGCATGTATAAGATCAGTGGGTTGAGGTGACAAAAGCGCTGCATCATGGTGGGGAAATGTATTTATTTACAAAATAGCGTGTGTATGTAAAAGCTAAACAAAACCCCAAACCGTGCCTTCGGCAGCGATGGGAGAACATAGTGGATTCCCCCCTTGCCTTCCAGGAACAGCGAGGCTGCAATCTTTTCGCACATCCACTTGCCATTGACTTCAATGAACAATCCCAACGTGCGAGAACTTGCGGGAGAGGAGGAAGCGCCTGCACGCAAATCCCCACCTCTCCCGTACCCCACTGGCTGCCCCCTCTCCTTTACTTCCCCATCGCTATTCCCCCTTTCCCCCGGCCCACCGCTCTGCCCCTCGCCCGCCTCTTCCTTCCCCCTCCCCAGGGGAGGAACAGAGAGAAGGAACTACGGAGCGCCTCGGCCCCGTGACCTACGGAAGTGACGTAACCCGGATCGGAGGAGGGGAGACTCCGGCGTCCGGTGATAGCCTTGTGTCGCTCTCGGTCCGTGGGCGCTTCCGTTAGAGCCGTTGGGAGCGGCGGCGGGGACCAGGAACCGCCGGAGTCCGGCACCGCGAGCGGCCGAGGCCGCCTCTTGCGGGATGCTGCGGGGTCTGGGCAGCTGGTTCCGGCTGGAGCGGGCGGGCGAGGAGCAGAAGCCGCCGCCCGAAGAGAGCAGCAGCCCCGGGGAGCGGAGCGAAGCCGGGGGCGCCGAGGGGGAGGCGGAGGCGGCGGCGGCGGGCGGGGACCCGGCCGTGCGGAGCCAGGAGCAGGTGGATCCGGATCCGCTCCTCAGCCAGGCCAAAGGACTCGGCAGTGAGTGTCCGGCCCGCGGCCGGCAGGGGGAGCCGTCTCTTGCCCTGGTCGCGGGGCTGCTGCTCTGCGGGGACTCCGCGCACAGCCCGGCCCGGCAGCCCCCAGCCAACAGACCTCTCGTCCCCATTTGTTCCCCCGCTACTGGCACTTCCCCTCCCCCATTCCCATCCACCCACAGACTTCACGCTGCATCCCCCCAGAGATCCCGTTCCCCACCCCAGCGACACCCCGGTCTGCATCCCCCACGCATTGACGGGCCCCCTTATCCCTGTCTGCCCTCCCCCCCCCCCACGCACACACACGCCCATACTGACCAGCTCTGACAGCTGCTCTCCCCACAGATGCTGATCTATTCCCCCCCCCCCCCCCCCCCGTTAATCTGGCCCTGCAACGCGAACACCTATCTCCTCTCCACCCACCCACTGACTCCCTCTATCCCCACCCCACCACATAGTTTTTTACTCATCCCCATAGGACTTGCCCTCCTGCCTTCACACCCTCCCTGAGTCTCAGCCAGAGCCTCACAGCACAGGTTAAAGCTCTAAAAAGGAGCTTGGGGAAAACAATACACATGCTCTTTACACCATATTATAACACACTGAGGGTGGGAGAACTTCCTGCAGGGGTTGTGGAAATAGAAATATCTTAATAAAGAAATACGGTCAGCTGATCGATGTCTCTTAGGGTTTATCTGCACAGCAAAATTGTCTCACTTTAACTAAAGTGACGCAATTCCCTCTAAGTGTTGATGCAGTAATACAGATATAAAGGTCTCTTATTCTTGACTAGCTTATTACTATTTGGAAAGCAGAGTAAGCTATAGCAGTAAGTCACCTGTTCAGTAGTATAACTAAAGTGAGTTTTACCAATATGACTAATTCAGTTAAAAAAACCCACTGCCTTAACTGAAATAGTTATACCAGTACAATACATGGGTGTAGGCCTGGCAAAAAGGTGCTTCTTAAAAATCATGTTATCCCTTAGGCTCTAGTTAGACTATAGGAAAAGGTGCCCTTTTTTAAAATCCAGGTAATGTAGCTGTTGAAAACCACTCAACACCAAGTAGGCCCAGTTTAATACCTTTAACTTGATTTTAGCAGGTCAAGTTATAGCGTAAATGGGACCCATAACTTGACCTGCTAAAATCAGCTAAAGCTGTTAAATTGTGTCTACATTGGCATTAAGTGGGGTTTCAGTTCAGTTGAAGTGCCTTCTCTGTGTTAACTCCGGTGAAAAAACATCTTTTTCCTAGTCAAGATACCATAACATCTAATGTAGACACTGTTTGATAATTGTTTAAGGAAGGAGCATGGTTTACAATATCACCAGCAAACAATTTTAAAGGTGTCACATTGTCTATGTTAGCTGCTGAGTGGTGTTTCAGGTCTTCTTAGCTGACTTAATTAAAAATATCTCCCCATTCCCCACCTGCCCAAGTGAAGATAGGGCTAAAGCTCTTCAATCCTCAGGCTTTACCTCTCGAGAGACTCTAGTCGTCTCTTTCAATTGCCTAGGCTTTGCAAATCATATATGAATTACATTCTGTGATATAATTGTGGCATAGGTTTATGATATGTACCCAGTTGACATGTATTGTTCTGCATTTTACAAATTTGGACCTCTTCTGTATCTCTTTCACCCTAACCAGGACTTTCAAGAGACATTCATGCAAATAAAGTTAGAAGCTGAAAATTAGGTGTCATTCTATTGTCTCAGCTCCAAGTTTCTGTGTTTCTGATGTCAATAATTTAGTTATCAAAACAATAACAATAGAATGTATGGGATGGAGGTGTTCTTAACAATTCTGTAATGTCACTGTGCACTGTTCAAGGGACACCACAAAATTTGAAATCATGGCACAAATTTTTTTTAAAAAAGTAGTTTTGGATACGAACCTTACCCCAAAGTTCCAGTGGTACATTTCTCTACTTTTTCAGTGTGGTTATTTCCACTGTTCCTATGAGAGACTGACTATATGAACTGCTCTCTGAAGTAAAAATAAACTGAAAATATTTTTTTTCAAGTATTCTCGCTAATCTTTCAGTTATAGTGAGCTTTGTTACAAATAATAAGTAAGCTGTTTTCATCAGACAGAGGCGTGGCTAGATTGATAGTGTTCCTTTAAACACCTGTTGTATTCGTGTCAGTTGGTGGGAGAAGTGATGTGTGCATAGAAAATAATATAGTGTAGTTTATGAAGTGCAATAAAATTTTTGCATGAAAAGTTTTGTATAGTACACCAAACTATGGCATTTTATTTTATTGATGTCTCCTCTGAATAAGTAAAGCTATAATCAGATAACATTTGGGAGGTTTGCTT